AGAGTGACTGAAATTAATGTAAATTGTCATTTACGGTAAGAGGAATCTAAATCATGTAAACAAATTGAATTTGACCTTTTCCGCGCGTTGTGAGCGCGCGCACCGCGCGCGGGGACAAGTACGGACGGAAATTTTTGAAATGCTTCAAATAACCTGATTCGTACTCTCGTTTAATAGTTAAGTGATTTTGAGCATTTTAAAATTTTGACGCGCGCGTACATGCTCGTCATGACCTTTATGTGACCTTTGATGACATGACTTGTTGACCCTTGACCTGAAGTATATGTGATATGAATATGAATGACCTTTGCTTATGCATCATGAAGATATGATGGATAACGTGATTTCACAAAATGGCGCCTGGATGACGTCACGATGACCTGATGACCTTGAAAAGGTTACTGTCACGTCTCATGACAATGACCTATGACTGTGTCGAAATTGAAAGAAATTAACACAACCGATCTTGAGTTAACCGATAAACAAAAAACGGGAAGAAATAAAAATAAATAATAATAATAATAACTAGAAATTTAATTCGTCATGGGGACGAATTAGGTGGTCTGTCTTCAAGTCTTATGAGAGATTATAATATTTACTATATTGAGAAAGGGAGAAGTTATATAGACATGTAAACAATGATGATCATCATGATGATCATGATGATGATGATCTTGATAGTAATGGGGATGACGATGATGATGATCATGATGATCATGATGATGTTGATGATTATCATCAACAGACCACGATGACATCAGACTGAACAAAATTAGAGAACATTTAGATAGCGTATAGTCTCAGCTACAACATACTCAAAAATCAACAAAAACCAAGCAGAAATAACAGCGATATTGCTCGCAAAAGACAAGAATGTAGAATCCAGATTTGAGAAAAAGTCATCTCCCATAAGGATTACACGCCAAAAGTAATGGATCTAGTGATAATAGGGTAATAATAAAGTAAATATGGTTGTTTATTACATTATTTGCAATTGTACGTGTTTTAATATTCAAAGGAGATGGTAGAGTGAAAGGTCAAAAAGAAAAAAAAGTGAAGAAAAAAAATTGTTGGAGACGCCCGGACTCGAACCAGGGACCTCGAGGTCGGAAGTCAAGTGCGTTACCGATATACCAAAACATTTCCCATAGAGATTACACGTAAACGGAAAATGGAATTATCAAATCCCACTTTGTATGTGAGATATGAGCATGATCCCGGCATCTGATCGAGAAATAAAGGGCACACTTGTGATAGCTTATTGTCTCAGCTACAACACACTCAAAGCTCAGCGTAAACAAAGATAAAACGACGGAGATATGGCTCGCGAAAGACGAGAATGTAGAATCCAGTTTTGAGAAAAAGTCATGTCCCATAGAGAATACACGCAAAATGTGAAAAATTGACATGCCTCCTTTAATCGCAAAAATACGCCATGATACCATTGTCAAAATGAAATATCGTGAAAAATGCATTTGTAGAGAATATTCTCAGGTAGAACATATCAAAATTTGAAAGAAAATTGATCAATATTTACAGAGATACAATCAATTTTTCAAAAATCTGCTGACGTCATAATATGCAAATTGAAATTTTGAGTTCGGAGGCCATTATGATGACGTCATGAGTTAATTGAGGATCAAATGAGACATGAATTCATATCTCCAACTCATGCTTTTTCCAACCATGATATAAAAATTGGGGGTCAATGGACTATCTGAAGAGCTATTTTGATTTTTAAAATGGCATGTTTTTGATCAAATTTGCATTATATTGCCCATAGCAGCACGCGCGGATTTTGAACTTTGACGCGCGCTCACGGCCTTATGAAAGGTCAAGAGTGACTGAAATTAATGTAAATTGTCATTTACGGTAAGAGGAATCTAAATCATGTAAAAAAAATTAAATTTGACTTTTTACGCGCGCTGTGAGCGCGCGCAACGCGCGCGGGGACACTTACGGACGGAAAATTTTGAAATGCTTAAAATGACCTGAAACGTGTGCAAACAAAATTTGGGACGAATTGGAGCATTTTAAAAATTTTAAGCGGGCGTACGTGCGCGTCGAGGTGCGCGCACGGATTTTGTTGACATTTTTAGTTGACCTTTGACCGGAAGTTGATGTATACTAAATATGGTTTATTTTTGATTACTCGTTATTGAGATATGATAATGACCTGATTTTTACAAAATGGCGCCTGGATGACGTCACGATGACCCCATGAACTTGAAAAAGGTTTCGGGAACTTCATATCATAGGGCCTGATGACTAGCAGAAATTTGAAGGAAATTGACCAGGTCGAGTTCGAGTAAACGTATACACAAAAAAAGTGTACGGAATAAATAAAAATAAATAAAGAAAGAATAAAGAATAAAGAATAAAGAATAAAGAAAGAAAATTCTAACGAAATCAATAGGTGATCTGTCATCGACAGACCACCTAAAAATTCTGACGAAAACAATAGGTAGTCTGTCGAAGACAGACCACCTAATAATAATAAAGAAAATCCTTCAAAGTTCTAGAAAATGTGCGATTTCAACTTTCAATTGAAAATTCCGCGCGTACGGACATGTATTTTAAACGGACGCTAATTCCGCCAATAATGGTCATGAAAAGCTAAACATGGTATCAAATTGTTCGGAAAAAGATAAGGAATACCCTCGTCAAAAAGACGTACTAGAAAATTATGCTTCGTTTGGCCGCTACGAACGAAAACGCGCAAAAATGCGTGTTTTGCGTGATTTTTATGAAATGCGTAAAATGGCCTGAAACGTATCCAAAATGAATTTGAGGCGATTTGGAGCATTTTGAAATTTGCGCGCGCACTGACGCGCGGACGTACGCGTACGCGCGCGTTTTCTGACCTGAAATTGACCGGACTGATATTGACCTTGATCATGGTAAATATGAATGAGAAATGGCTTTCAGTTATGAAGTTATGATCATTTGAGATTTTCCAAAAAAAACACAAAATGGCGCCTGGATGACGTCATGAAGACTTGATGACCTTGAAAAGGTTACTGTCACGTCTTATGGCAATGACCTATGACTGTGCCAAAATTGAAAGAAATTGACTGGACGGATCTTGAGTTATCCTGTGAACAAAAAAGTGGAAGAAATAAAAATAAAGAAATAAAGAAAGAAAATTCTGACGAAAACAATAGGTAGTCTGTCGAAGACAGACCACCTAATAATAATAAAGAAAATCCTTCAAAGTTCTAGAAAATGTGCGATTTCAACTTTCAATTGAAAATTCCGACATGATCCCAACATCTGATCAAAAAACAAAGTACACCGGTTTTGTAGCCCATGGTCTCAGCTATAACATACCAAATTTTGGCATAAAATGGAGCACGAATAAGCGAGATAGTGCTCAAAGATGAGTGTCATGTAGATTCATGATGTGAACGACATTCACCTTCCATAGAGATAACACGCAAATGAAGAAAATTCTGACATGTCGCCTTTAATTGAAATTTTCACCATGATGACGTCATCAAAATGAAAAACAATGGGCACTGATCTTGTAAAGAATTGTCTCAGCTACAACATATCTAAGTTTGAAAGTAAATCAATCAATATTTACAGAGATACAATCAATTTGCTATACATATGATGACGTCATAATATGCAAATTCGTTTTTTGAGTTCCAAGGCCATTATGATGATGTCACGATATATATAATGGCCAAATGAGACCTAAAATCATATTTCCAACTCATATTCTATCCAAATATGAGAAAAAATTGGGGGTTTCGTGGACTTCCTAAAGAGCTATAATGGATTTTGTATAGGCATGTTTTTGCCCATATATGCTATGTATTACAAGATCACGCGCGTACGGACATGTATTTTAAACGGACGCTAATTCCGCCAATAATGGTCATGAAAAGCTAAACATGGTATCAAATTGTTCGGAAAAAGATAAGGAATACCCTCGTCAAAAAGACGTACTAGAAAATTATGCTTCGTTTGGCCGCTACGAACGAAAACGCGCAAAAATGCGTGTTTTGCGTGATTTTTATGAAATGCGTAAAATGGCCTGAAACGTATCCAAAATGAATTTGAGGCGATTTGGAGCATTTTGAAATTTGCGCGCGCACTGACGCGCGGACGTACGCGTACGCGCGCGTTTTCTGACCTGAAATTGACCGGACTGATATTGACCTTGATCATGGTAAATATGAATGAGAAATGGCTTTCAGTTATGAAGTTATGATCATTTGAGATTTTCCAAAAAAAACACAAAATGGCGCCTGGATGACGTCATGAAGACTTGATGACCTTGAAAAGGTTACTGTCACGTCTTATGGCAATGACCTATGACTGTGCCAAAATTGAAAGAAATTGACTGGACGGATCTTGAGTTATCCTGTGAACAAAAAAGTGGAAGAAATAAAAATAAAGAAATAAAGAAAGAAAATTCTGACGAAAACAATAGGTAGTCTGTCGAAGACAGACCACCTAATAATAATAATAATAATAATAAATAAAGAAAGAAAATTCTGACGAAAACAATAGGTGATCTGTCGTTGACAGACCACCTAATAACAGTAAACAATGCTGTTTTCAAAACCAAAGATGGCAGAATAATCCATTTGCCTCCAAGTCCAAACAGAAATCCGGACATTTGGTCCCAGTTTGTGAGTGGTGAGTTTGACAGTGCTTGAGTTGGGAAACATTTTTACCGACGGCACCATGCCCGCGGTCGCCGCTCTCCCTGGCATGGGTAAGCGTCGGCCTGGCCTGGACAGTGCCAGGTGACCGGGATTTTTTTTTTTTTTTTTTTGCGGCCGAACATTCGAGTACGAGAAATCGTACTCGAGTAGTTGTCAACAGTGCGGGTACTCGAGCATTGGACTACTCGTCCCAGCCCTAAAAAAAATACATCTTAAACTAAAATATACTAACATCCTTAACTTGTTAATCTAAATAAATGGAACACTAAGGGTTTGGAAGAGGGAGGTTAGTTAGAAATTGTTAGTACCATGGCCACTTACATACAGCGCGGTAGACTTTTTCGTGATTCGAGTGGATGTATTGATTCGGCCGTTTGCAGACGAGATGAAATGACTGACAATGATGCTATGGGTGCTGTAACCGGAAAGATGACGATGTCGGAGACGGCAACGGAATAGGGAGCACAGGTGCGGGATCAGGACGACAGGATATACAGCAGGAACACAGGATCAAATTCAGGAACACAGCACCAAATTGGAAAATGGTTAATAGTACCGATTTGCAGAAGACTCTGCAAAATGTTCCACCTATCTCTCTTGTATCCTTCCTTCGCTAAGATCAGAGATTGTCTGCACTGCGAGTCTGCCAAAGTTCCATAAATGGCTTTCCATAGGTCGTTAGGGGTCCTTAAAGGTTGTTAGCGGTACATGTAAGTAGATTTTAACGGGTTGTGTGGAGATTGTGTATAAAATAAAGGGTAAGTGTATGCAGCTGTGTTTTGGCAGTATTGCTGGTGGGGCCAGGAGGGAGAAAGAGCACCAACTCCAAGAACAGCGCAGGGGGAGACTCGAAGTATTTTTCGAACTGTTTTGTGCTGAGGTTATCCTTAATACGTTTAATAAGGCCTTGACGCACAGATGATAGAGCTTGGCAAGTTGCAACAAGGTGCTCATCATCCTCTCGCTCTGCCCGACACAGACGGCAGCAGTCATCAGCTGCCTTCCCGAACCTGACAAGCCTGACTTGGGTCAGGAAGACTGGATGGATGGAGATACTGTAGCTGGCCTCAAGCTTGGGTTGGCGATATGCCCAGGATACAGATCCTTGACCTTTGGTTTAGGTTTTCTGGTCCAAAGGGATAAAGAAATCCTGTTAGTGAGGGCAACATGCTGTCTGGACTCAGAAGCTTGCATCATTGCTGACTGCATGGCGCTGGTAGTTAGGGGGTCTCATTACAAGCTTCTGGGAAGACTGAGCAGCTTTTGTCTGGGGCTGTTGTATTATCAAGCAATCTGCTTACAATCATGGGAAAAAATACTCTAAAAATTTTGGGGGCTACTTTTCAAGCTTGATTGCATGAAAATAACACTCTTTAATTTGTTTTGCATTGAACTCTATGCAAATTTTTTTTGACTCTTTAATGACTTTTGGGGGCTCTTTTTGGCATTTTGGGGGCTACTTCGCCCCGATCCCCCGTGTATTTTTCCACTGTTACAATGATATTCCTTCACCAGCCCCAGCGTTTCCAAAACTAGTCTATACCTTTAAGCATCTGTTGGAGCTCTGTTGGGTCATTACTAGGGAGAGCAATATCATCAGCAAATGCTATGACACCTATATGTACGTAGAGGTTCCCGATCGGGCAACCTAGATGGCATCAATGTTCCTTTTAAATCAGTTCCTGGTACTTTCAAATTAAGGTCCCTCAAAGTATTTTGTATAATTTTAGTTGAATATTCCCGACTTGGTGATTAAATTGACTTGGCTTCCTTCCACAATTATTGAACAACGCTGTACTTTGATAACTTTGTGAGGCCAAAAACTTGTTGACTTTCGCATCCAGCAAATAGTTCGGGGACAGCTTGAGGGAGATGGGAGGACAGGGGTACAAGTAGGGGAGACCAAGTTGTGTTGGAACAAAGTGAGCATGCAAAAGATTCATGCAAGCTACTTTTATACCTAACACAGTACCATACATTTGTATATATTCTCCTTTTGGTCATTTCCTTTTTCACATCTTGCATTGGTTTTATATGGGGTTGTCCCGTACGTCACATTTCTTAATTTGATTATGTAATCAACACAGAATTTTTGTAATTTTTGTTAAACCTACTTTTGTTAGGTATTCATCTAAATTAGAACTTCCTAGAATATCTTTTAAAAAAAATTATTTTGATGATTAGAATTAAACAAATTATGTTCAAATAGACCATTTTCATAATATAACCAAATTTAATGCACAAGTCTTTGTGAAGTGCCTCAATACAAATTATTTCATTCACCTGATAAGAATAATAGTAATTCAATAGTCAGAATGCAAACTGCATATTTTGTTGCTAGGTAGGTCAAGCCATAATGTTTGTCCGACCTGGCAACGATTAATGTATGCAGTTTGGATTATGTCTATTGAAATACTATTATTCTTACCAGGTGAATGAAATAATTTGTATTGAGGCACTTCACAAAGACTTATGCATTAAATTTGGTTACATTACGAAAATGGCCTATTGTGACGTACGGGGCATCTCACTTTGGAACCTACCTCATTTGCATAATTAATTAATTTTGAAAGTTTCTATATTTTGTTCCTATTTTCTAGCATGATGGTCTACATGTTCTGAGAAATTTAATTTTAAACAAATAATTCAAATGAGATACAAAAATAAAAATGTAATGTCCCATATACGTCACGCTAATTAATACAAATCGAAGTTCGTGACCTAGAATAAGAATGAGATATATTTATGGCAAGAAACTTTTGAGTAAATTGCAAAACTTCAGTGTTATATGCCAATTTCCATTCAATCATTTTTGCAGCATGAAGCTTTCGCAAATTCAAACCACTCATTGAAACTGGCAAATATTTCACTCAGAGACAAATATCTGCCCCACAGACACAGCTCAGATAGATAAGACAAGAGTCTAGTCAAAAGAGGGTTTACAACTTTACAAATATCTGCAAGAATCACAACAATGACAATGTTGGCAGCATTGCTAAAAACTTTAAACCAAGCAAGCAATTCACAAATGAGTTCTTTAGTTTTTGGCAAAAAGGGCAGAAATCATGGACAATATCATGAATATTGACGAACTTTTTTGAGCCTTGGTTTTTCAATAATTCTAGAATTCTATTTTCATTTTCATGATCAAAATACGAATCTAGAAATCTAGAAAGGCACATTAAAAGAGAAGAAACGAAAGAAGTTTTCACCACCCCAAAAAAGAGTTTCAGACAGAACCTCACTTCTTTACTTGATTTGCAACGCGAACGCTAACTCCAGGGAGCTCCGACGCCTAGGTCTATGCCTTCGGCATCGGAGCTCCCTGGAGTTACGGGAACGCCAACTTATCAAACAGTGAAACCCATTCGTAAAAGAAATTCCGTAATAAATAGTGAAAGAAATTTAAAAAAAAATCAAAATAAAGCAGGCTTACCGAAGTCATAAGTGTAAAGAAGTAGCCAAAATCTGTTAGCAAGTGAAATATAGTGGGCCTGGGCCTGGCTGACAAGGATCGGTACGGGGGCACGTCGGCAGGGTCGAAGCTAGTAGTTCGGTGATCGCTGCCCACGAATGATACGATTATCTCATTCATAAACCATGCATTGTAACTGAGTGACGTCATTGCTTTAGGAGGGGCGATTTCGCTCTTACATTTTGTGTGTCACTGTTTCCGGAGTCGCAGTGAAGAATCTCGGCAGGCCGATCAAAACACATCAGATTTTTCATTTTTTTAAAGAGAATTATTTACTTTTCCCACCATGGCGAGGGAATACGATCACCTGTTTAAACTACTTATTATAGGTGATAGCGGTAAGTTGTAAATATTGGATTATTTCACGAGTTATATTTTCCGAGTGTGCCAAGGCAATGACATGAACTGCTGTCAAAGTGAATGGCCATTGATAAAGTTCAGTCCCACATACTTGAAAATGTGTTTTTATAGAATTGTCATTCTTGCTTGTCATTTATTGTACTGTAAGTGACACTGTAATTAAGGGCAAATATACAGTAATTCACTGACACTTGTTAACAGATAATTGTCTAAATTTGCCTATCATGCTTATACTAGGTCTAGACTACACAATAAGTTTTTGTTCAAAATTGTAAAAATTGTTTGAACATTGATATGAAGTTGTTTTGTAACTTAGTTAGAAAGTCTAGTTTTATTTTGTAAGAAAAATAGTCTAGATGTTGTTAATGTTATGACTTATGTTTGCGTGCACAGCAGAGAGAGTGATGCAGAGGTCTCAGTGTTTGAAAAATTGGAATAGAGAATGATTCCGCGGGTGTCAATGAATGAATATAATAGTAGGGTGTCTGATCGCGCACCCGATGTTGTGTGCTAAAATTCTTCCCATAGTCTTTACACGCATCCCTATGCAGTCTACGTGCATTGCGCGACCATGCAAAAAAAGTCAATTTTTTTTTTTCAATTCGAGATTCAAACCTTTATCTGTTGTGATCCTGAAGGTGATAATCAATAAATGAGGTGTCATATGAAAGAGCAGGTAAATTCCAATATTTCTAAAGGGGCGTAGCCCCCGAAATTCTAAAAATATCTTGGTCAAAACAGCAATTGAAACATTGTGTCCTGGCTAACTCTGAGGTTTGTCACTTTTGAGATATGACGCCCCGATCGATAAGTAGTCCCAGTCCTAAGGAACAATTCTATGTGCTTATATTTTCGCTAGCCCCCAGGGATCACAACTGATAACAGTTTAAAAATACCCTTCTCGCTATTTGGTGGATCAGCTAATTAGGGGGCGTGCGCTCCGCTCAGTCCAAACCATGGTTACATCGCGTAACATCTCCGCGCACGAACGAAACCCCAAATTCAAGTATGGGTGGCCATTCGCGGCATAGAACCCGGAAGTGAATACACGTTATAGTCAATGGCAATATCGCGGAGACATCTCCGCGATATTGCCATTGACTATAACGTGCATTCACTTCCGGGTTTATTGTGCGACGAACGCCAACCATACTAGTCAATGGCACATGTCGCGGAGACAGCGTAGCTCAAGCTGCAAGTCGCGGATTGGCTTAGCAGCATGCGTACGATATGCATACGCTTGCATATCGCGCGATACAGCTGTTTGGCTAAATTTAGCAAAACAACATCACTCTGCGTAGACGTCTTTTTCGTCGATTTTGACCAAAATGATATGAATATACCAGCGTTTTGGAGGGGCTGTAACTTTTGATAGAAACATCGGTGAGACTTGAAATTTGAAATGTATTATTCTGATAACATCTTTTATTCAAATATCAAACAAAAATGGTGAAAAACGATCCCAAATTGAAAATTGAAAAATCGTTCAGACACCCTAATAATAGGTAGCTTTGTGATTTTTCATGATGATCGACTTGTTGATTCGACTGAGTATGAGGATTGATGCCATGTTGATCAGTATAGTAGGGCCATAGGGTCATAGGGGCGCTGGTCCGAGAATGAGGATCGTTCGCATAAACGAGGATATCCTCGTAAATTAGACAAATTGTGTCCTAAAACATATGGTTTGGGTTCGCTCGATGGCGATGCGAAGAACGGATTCCGCGTAAGAAAATAACCCCAGTTCACTGTCTACTTTTATAGATTGTCCGTCTTCCCGAGGATTTAACGTTCATAACAGGGAAAAATTAATATTTATTTTTCAGGGGGCTACTTTTCAAGCTTCCCTGCATAGAAATAACACTCCAAAATTTGTTTTGCATTGAACTCTATGCAAATTTACGGGGGCTCTTTTGGGCATTTCGGGGGCGAATTCGCCCTGAGCCACCATGTATTTTTTTCACTGGTTCATAATGTGAAAGACTCTGTACAAAGTCCATGTAAAACGCATTAAGAAAATCATCGCAAAATCTGTCTTTTGCATCGCCAATGTGTGGATCCTTATTTTTGCAAACGCGTTTGGTGATCCTCGTTATGCAGACGATCCTTATTCTCAGACCAGCGCCCCTACTGTTGATACTTCTACGAATAAACGACCTTAGATCGAAAGCTTCAGTTTCTGATATCTAGGGTTATTCCACAGAGATTGCATCTGCCTCCTCTGACCGCCTCTACACAATTTACATAGACTGAAGTAGGTCGTATGGGGTACAGTAGCGTGTGGAAGGAATGGGTCGGTTCGGCCAAACAGAGATGAATGAGATGCTACAAGGTTTTTCACTCTTTTAATATGCAGGTGTCATTTGTAAGACGCACCTCTTGATTTGGATTACATGTACATGTACGTACATGTACTAAGGCTGCGACGAGTACTCAAATACTTGAGTACTGACACTGTTGACAACTACTCAAGTACGATTTCTCGTACTCAAATACTCCATCGCAATTTTTTTCCCGTTCACCTGGCACTGTCCAGGCCGACACTTACACGTGCCCGGGAGAGCACCGGCATGTTACCGTGGGTAAAAATGTTTCCCAGCTCAATCACTTTCAACTCACCACTCAGAAACTGGGACCAAATGTCCGGATCTGTGTTTGGACTCGGAGATAAATTAGCCTGTCATCTTTTGTTTTAAAAACAGCATTGTTACTATTATAACTATTATTATTATTAAATCGGCGCTTTCAACTGCATCTCAAAGTAAAATTGTGTGAGTTTTCGGAGATGGACCTGGGAAACTTCTTCAGTAGTATGGTGGTGGCAAAAAAAAAATAATAAATAAATAAAAAAATAAATAAAAAAAAATACAACATGGCGTCCGAGTACTATTCCCTGTAAGCCTGGGAGTGTACTTGAGTACCCCACTACATGCTTATGCACAGCCCTACCATGTACAGTACATGTAAAACACTCCCATTGACTTGACCATCTGCTAATCTGTACCACTTTTACGAAACACAATAGATAGAAGATTATAGCAAGTTACACGTATTTGTCTAAATTAACAGATTAATGGTAAAATTCAGCGTGGTAGTCCATGTACACCTGTACTACATCAACTTCACCTGTAGATGTACAGTTGTACATTGTTTTGTGCAGAGGTTGATTAGGTGTGTTTAAATTATCCCATAATTATTGTTTTGCTACTTTTTTTTAAAGTAATACAATTTTTACAATTTATATAACTTATTGAAAATGATCGTTAGACCAAACTACATTTTACTTTTGAATTGGATTAAATTTTACACTGAGGCCAGAGGGTTTTTGGGGTTGAATTCCAGACAATTTTTTCTTCAGGGAAGTGTTGCACCTTGTTCCCAATGGAATTTTTTTCTTCTTCAGTTGTTGATGTTTTTGTAATGTCAAGCCAAAGCTCTTCCTTCTGAAAAAAATTAGTCCTGGTGGCTTAATATTAGATAAAGGGAAAAATTGGCCCAATAATTTGGGTATCTTACAACCCATCCTGATGGACACAATTGTCATTTTCTGTGTTTTTTAAATGCCCAGTCATGTTACATTATGTACTTCTTAAAGACAAAGTGGGGTGAAATCAACCTGACTTAAAGGGATCGTTTAACAATGTTAAATCTGAGATACATGGCCCTACGTGTTACCAGTGTCTGTGATATGGTGTAATATTGAAGCCCTAAAAAAATTGCGCTTCAAAATGATCAAGAAGTGCCTCAAAAAAGTAACCGGTGACCGGTTTTACCATACTCGTTTTCCCCAATAGACTGTAGTGTTATGAAAACCGTCAGGCGAACGGTTTTCAAAATTTGTAATTCCAATCATAAATATCTTGATAATCATACAGGTGATTGGCTGGTAAAAGTCATGGGGTTCCTGACTGACCTAAAGGTTTATAATTATCATTGCATCATGAGCTAAATCCAGAATTTTGTTTCAGAATCTGAGACAAAGTTACTGGATCCCTTTAAAGGCTAAGTCCACTCCAAAAATAATTTGGTTTTAATAGATGCAGAAAAACAAGAGAAACTGAGCATAGATAATTGAGTAAAAATAAGATAATTAATAAGTAAATTATGAATTTCTTTTAGAGTATGAAAAAACTATGGAACTTAAAAAATCACTACACAAACTGCCAATTTGGTTATCAGTTTGTGACGTCATTGCCTCACTATCTATCAATTGCTTACCGTATTTGCCGGCGTATAGGCCGCAGTATTTTTGGAAGAGAAAATATCAAAAAGTCGGGGTGCGGCCTATGCGGCGAAAGAGTAAAAATTTTTTTTTTTTTTTTTTTTAGTTTTGATTTATGGCGCTATGCCTGGCAATGTCTCCCAGCTCAGTAATCAGTGAGTTGACTCACCACTCGGAAACTACAACAACACTAAAAATTGACTTTCATCTTGGTTTGAAAGTAATCTAATAGATCTCAATATGTAGTTTATAATAATAGTTCCTCAAAAAAAATTTCTATAACAAATGGTGTACCACAAGGTACACCACTGGTACCATAGGTACTTTATTGTTTTTAATTCACATTAATGATCTTACACATTCTTCTAAAAACGACATTGTTACTATTATTTGTGACAAGTTTACAAGCACAAATCAGCGCCTTTAACTGCACCTCGATGTTAAATGAAGGTCCTTCCACGCGTGGGTTTTCGGCAGCAAAACAAAAAAAAAAAAAAAAAAAAAAAAAACGATTTAAAAAAAAAAAAAAACTAGAATTTAAATCGTCACGAGGACGATTAAGGTGGTCTGTCTTCAAGTCTTATGATAGATTATAATACTTACTATATTGAGAAAGGGAGAAGTTATATAGACATGTAAACAATGATGATCATCATGATGATCATGATGATGATGATCTTGATAGTAATGGTGATGACGATGTTGATGATGATGATGATGATCATGATGATGTTGATGATGATCATCAACAGACCATGATGACATCTGATTGAAAAAAATGAGGGAACATTTAGATAGCATATAGTCTCAGCTACAACATACTCCAAAATCAACAAAAACCAAACGGAAATAACGGCGATATTGCTCGCAAAAGACAGGAATGTAGAATCCAGATTTGAGAAAAAGTCATCTCCCATAGGGACTACACTCAAAAAGTAATGGATCAAGTGATAATAGGGGAATAATAAAGTAAACATGGTTGTTTATAACATTATTTGTGATTCTACGTGTTTTAATAAGCAAAGGAAAAGGTACAGTGAAAGGTCAAAAAGAAAAAAAAAGTGAAGAAAAAAATTGTTGGAGACGCCCGGACTCGAACCAGGGACCTCGAGGTCGGAAGTCAAGTGCGTTATACCGATGTACCAAAATATTTCCCATAGAGATTACACGTAAACGGAAAATGAAATTATCAAATCCCACTTTGTAAGTGAAATATGAGCATGATCCCGGCATCTGATCGAAAATTAAAGGGCACACTTACGATAGCATATTGACTCAGCTACAACATACTCAAAGCTCAGCGTAAACGAAGATAAAACGACGGAGATATTGCTCGCGAAAGACAAGAATGTAGAAACCAGTTTTGAGAAAAAGTCATGTCCCATAGAGAATACACGCAAAATGTGAAAAATTGACATGCCTCCTTTAATCGCAAAAATACGCCATGATGCCATTGTTCAAATGAAATATCTTGGAGAATACATTCGTAGAGAATATTCTCAGCTAAAACATATCAAAATTTGAAAGAAAATTGATCAATATTTACAGAGATACAATCAATTTTCCAAAAATCTGCTAACGTCATAATATGCAAATTGAAATTTTAAGTTCGGAGGCCATTATGATGACGTCATGAGTTAATTGAGGGTCAAATGAGACATGAAATCATATCTCCGACTCATGATCTATCTAAATATGAAAAAAATTGGGGGTATCTATCCATTCTGAAGAGTTAAAATGAATTTTGTATAGGCTTGTTTTTGCACATGTAATGTGGATAGGGATAATGCAGATCCGCGTGTGCTGTAAACTTTGACGGACGCTCATTGCGTTATCACTGGTCAGAAAAAGGTGAACAAGGTATCAAAATGCTTGGAAAAATGTGGTTGATATGATAGAGAAAATTTGGCGTTTCCATGTTGTAAAATGTCAGTACGCGCACTTACGCGCGGAAACGCGCGCAAAAAAGTGCTCTCGCGCAAAATCTTGAAAATGCTTACAATGGCCTGAAACGTGTGCAAAAAAAATTTGGAACGAATTTGAGCATTTTAAAATTTTAATGCGCGCGTACGTGCGCGTCGAGGTGCGCGCGCAAATTTTGTTGACATTTTTAGTTGAACTTTGACCTGAAGTTGATGTATACCAAATATGGTTTATTTTTGAAGACTCGTTATCGAGATATGATAATGACTTGATTTTTACAAAATGGCGCCTGGATGACGTCACGATGACCCCATGAACTTGAAAAAGGTTTCGGGAACTTGATATTATAGGGCCTAATGACTATCAGAAATTTGAAGGAAATTGACCAAGTCGATTTCGAGTAAACGTATACACAAAAAAAGTGTACGGAAGAAATAAAAATAAATAAAGAATAAAGAATAAAGAAAGAAAATTCTAACGAAATCAATAGGTGATCTGTCATCGACAGACCACCTAAAAATTAATTTTTTTTTTTTTTTTTTTTTTTTTTTTTTTTTTTTTTTTTTTTTTTAAATGTCAAAATCGGGGGTGCGGCCTATGCGGGGGTGCGGCCTTTACGCCGGCAAATACGGTAATACATTTTTATGCCATTAATTTCCCTTTATATTCCCCAAAACTTGATTTCCCCATGCCTTTGCCCAGGTTGTACATAGTATGATATTGCACAAAATGTTTTATGAATTTTGAAGAATGGATAATATTTTCTGAATATTGTATATTCATGACCATTAATTTTTATTTAAACAGTTCATCAAAATTAAAGATTTTCATGATTGATATGAAAAAAAGTTACTGGTACCGGTACTCTATACTAGTGCATCCACATTCCACACAAAAACATATAACTATCACTATAACTTGGATGCTGGTTTGAGGAAAAAGATTTTTAGGGGGTCAATTGGAAATTTATATAATCAATATTAAAGAAAACAATTAGTGGATAGTGAGGCAATGACGTCACAGACTCATGAGTGAGTTGCCAATTTGTCTTGTGATTTTCAAAGTTTTTCATGTCATTAAAAATTCATAACTTTCTTATGAGTTATCCGATTTTGCTCAAACTTTTTTTGATTGGTTTGTCTACCGGTAATTATTCTGCTTCTATTATAGGTAAAGTATTTTTGCAGTAGACTTGCCCTTTTAAGGTCTGTGCTGGGGGCTCTTTTTTTTTTTTTTGTGAGAAGATATTTAGCGGCGACCGACATTTTCTTGTTGTTGTTCTGTTTGTATTTTTTTGCTACAAAGTGTCATTAAAATCTTCTTGAAACTATTTATACAATGAAATTATATGAGTACATGTACCACGGTATTTAAAATACTGTATTTTGTGATGCTCAGTGACCTGACCACAATTGCCTGACCATTGCTGTATGTTTTGACACATGCATGTACAATGAAGCTGAACAAACATTAATTTGATTCAAGTTGTAGCCTTTTAGTTTTCATTACTATCAGTCATGAACATGAACATGAAGTTTATAGGGTCAGAGTATTATAAATTTGTGGCAATCATTATTGTGATTATTGTGATTTCAATACAAACAAAAAGTCAGTATTCATGTATGTAAATGTACCATAGCTTTTCTCTTGATTCAACATGTATTTATTAAACATGTAAATACACGTACAAATGTACAGTGTGTATGGGCAAGTTTATCAAATCTGACTAGGCCTACTCGGTAGTTGAAATTTTAATGGATTTTGGATTTTAAACTTTAAAGAAAGACCATTTTTAAAAACTGTTCGCTTTTTTTCTTTGAGTTTTGTATTATGAGATCCCAAATTGGTCTAAAATTAGGACAGCATTTCCAATTATAATATTATTTAATTTTTATATAGCGCTTATTACAAATGTCTCTAAGCGCTTTATAAATATACTATTACCCCGGTCATTGGATTCAGGGCTTGCCCACACACACTGTGTGCACAATCTCCACTCCCTGGGAAGCATTCCAGCCAGGCGTTACATGTACATGTACAGGTACATGGCGCTCAAAAACTGTTTGACCAACAACAACAGTCGCATCCTACCGGGTACCCATTTAACACCTGGGTGGAGAGTACAGTGTAGCAAGTGCAGGTTAATCAACAAAATATAACTAAACTGAGTTGTGAAATCACATTTCACAAGACTTGCCTTTTAAGTTCATTCATACAATTACCCCCCAAAAGGTGTTCTCATCTAAATTTACCGTACATGTACATGTACATGTGCATAAATGTATGGCCAATTTTGTATTCTCATGTATTTAGTGATCTCACCCTTGACTTTCAAACATTCATAACTTTCCCATTGTTTGCCCAATATATTTGAAACTTCCACTAATCTGTTTGTATGATTTTTCTGCTTTCACCCAAGACAACTTATTATCAAAGATAGATTGCACTTTTACACATACATGTATGATTACAAATACAATGCACATGTGTGTGGGACTAGTGTACATGCTTCATTCAATTTCACAAAGCACCATCCACCCAACGCAACCAGTCATAGGGTTTGTTATCTTGTTGAAGATGAGGGTACATATACATGCTCCTCCGGAGTGGAAAATCAATACTATGCAAAACATTCTGCACAATTACACACAATGTTTACATGTACATTGATTGCTTTTCAAGTTGTAGTCTAGTGCAACACGTGACTCACCGTCGCCCTCGCACAGTTCATGCACTAGCAATTCTTTACACATGCTTGCATTGCAACCAAATAAAGGGGATCCTCTTTTAATACCGGTACATGCAGTGTTTGCTGTTTTATGTCGGAAGTATTTTAAAATTTGTTTAAATGAATCATAATTTTAGGGATGAATACAGCTTCAAGTGTAGTGTTAGTCAGTTAGTTGTGAGGATATTTAAAGGGAATAGTAGGCCGCCCTTTTCAAATAAACTTTAGACAAACACCGCGGTATTGTGTCTAGAGGCCTGCGTAGTATTCATAATAGTATTGATTTTGACCTTGTGGTTACCTTGCTTGTCTAATATTGTTATTCACGATGAATCATGTTACTCCTTGGCTATGAGTTTGCAATTGAGTGTACAAATTATATTAAAGTCAGACTTGACAAAATGTGTACATGTACATGCACATTGTACATGTAAATTACATTTCACATGTACACATACATGTACATTTCCTGCTGTAAATGAACTTCATCTTTTGTGTTCAGACCTTTTGGCTATGGCATGTTTAATACTAGTAAATTTACATAGTACATTACATGTATGTACATGTACATGTACATACATGTAGTACATTACATGCATACATAAGTGTAAGCCTATACATGTATGGGTATTACAGAAACCAGAGTAAAATTAATTGCCTCATTATTCAAGAGCTTTGCACATTGTGTACAGGTGTAGGTGTATATTTTATTTTCACATCGATGATTCACTTTGATCAAAGAGATCCTGTACTTGATGTTTTACAACTTATAATCTTGCTACTACACTGCACTTCCTTTGACCTACATTATTTTTTACCTTTGGCTTTGAGCAACGAAACATCATAATAATTACTACCGTACATGTGTTTATATATATGTAAATGAATTCATGCATGTGCATGCAGTGCAATATATTTCAGTGTAAATATACTTTCTGTTCCCTCGACTCTTTTACCTTTTGCCGTATTTGGTGTGGTAAAAGTGTGATTTTCTTATAGTGATATTTACATGTAAGTCTTTTATTGTTGTATTACTTCAGCTCTTCAGTGAAAAAAATAAATGGGGGCTCGGGATGAATTAGCCTCCGAAATGCCCAAAAGAGCCCCCGAAAGTCATAAAAAAGCCCCCCAAATTGGCATAGAGTTCAATGCAAAAGAAATTAAAGAGTGTTAATTTCATGCAAGCAAGCTTGAAAAGAAGCCCCCGAAATTGTTAAAGTATTTATTTCCCTGCAGCCCTTTCTCAGTTTTATACCAGATTTGGTGTTTTTCAGAGCTAAATCCTGCACTGCTCCTGTGTATATGTTTTTGCTGATTTACAAGTATGTACATGTGTATGTAGGCCTACTGTTTATTACTACCTATACTAGTGGATGTTTCATAAGCAACACTTCTACGTGTACAGGGTTTCATGAAGGCATATTTGATTGGAGTTTTGTGGTGTGTGTGCAGTGACAGTTCTAAATTAGCCTTCCCTTGAGGGTAAAATTTGACCTAGTTAAAGACTGTTTTGATTTAATAAGGATTAGGAGTAAAGCTCTATTGTTCCCAGGGGGATTACAGTAGGATAACAGTTTGCTGATAATAGCTTGTTCACACCAGTGGAAATTAATACGAAAACCCGTAGGCTTGAATAGAAACGTTCTTTAAAGAATCACCATACACTACAGTACATGTATAATGTACATGTATCCACAGTATAGTGAAAGGCGTGTTTACACGTGAAAAAAGGTATCGCACAAACAACCATTGTTATATGAATATAATAAATGTTTAAGAGGTCATTGTACATGACAGCTGGCTATAACCATTATGTACATGTATGCAGCTCACAATATATACAGAATACATGTATGTGTAAGTCCCACCCAAGTGTACAATTTTTGTATGATACAATGTTCTAATGAGAAGGGGACCTTAATTCCTTTAATATTGAGCCTTCATTCAAAATGATGCTCAAACACCATTTACCAATAAACCCCCGCAATTTTTTTGTTACACAATATAGACTAGGAAAAACAAACACTTTGTGTAGCTACATGTGCATGTATAACAGTAACATTTTGTTGTCTGAATGGGGGGGGGGGGGGGGATAAGGCTACTTCAGTTACCCCATTGTGTGACCTGTCTGTATGTTTATCACCTTGAATGAGTGTCTTTCATTCAGGATTACAGGTACTACCTGCCCTTGTATTGTATACATTTCACAATACAAGGAAACTATACACAGGAGACTTATAATGTAAATGTACCTACTGGTAGCCATAGGCTCGGATGCTTGTTGGCCATCAATGTTTACTGTAATTTGTAAATCAGTCAACCAATGAACCATCAAGACATGTACATGTTTATCCTATATTGTTTATTTAGATTTTAAACTGAAATAGTCATAATAGGCCTATACCCATTTATTTTTTAGTTCAGGTTACACTGATCATGGGGAGGCAAGTGGACTCTGTCGGTAAAGCCTCTGCCTGTTGAACAGAAGATTGTAGGGTTCGAATCTAACCCAGGCGGACGACTAAAGCTTGTGTTATTCATAGACCTATGCAGTTTCTATTTAAGTGGAAAACAGTACTCTGTCCCTCGGATAGGAAGTTGAATGAAGGCCCTGTTTAGAGGAGAGTCGTCACCTTTGCATGTTAAGTTAGAACTCATTGCCCTATTCGTATGTAAGAGTAGGGGAAAACCCCAGATTAGTGGTCCGCCTGCACAACCCCAATCAGTTACATGTAGGCCAAATAAGAAAGAAACATGTTTAGCATCCTGCCTTTTGAAAAATAGGAAGGAGGAGGCTTTTTTTTCTTCTTCAAAATGGCCGCTCAAATGGCCGCTCAACACATTTTCCCTGACAGTGCCCTAGTCGGGCTATTTTGCAGGATGGCCGCCAGCATTTTTTTTATTTATTTTGTTTTAAAATCAGAAATAGATCATTTTAGCAGTACTCATGTTTTTCATGTTTTTTATCTTTAATTTTTTTTCTTCAAATGAAATAAAAAATTTAAAAAAGGAGGCGGCCCCCAAAACGCTAAACATGATTTTCTTTTTAATGGCCTTATAAAGGAAGGAGAGACCCTAGGGTTACAGCGATTCAGTATGATTTTCCCCTCCCAGGCACAGATGACGCCAAATATTCATTAATAATATTAATATAGATGACCTGTACCTGCACATATACATATTTGATATTTAATGTATTTGTTTTCCTCCTACATAAAAATGCTATTGGAGTACATGTTTGTCAATTTCAACACAAAGTTTCTTAATAAAAATCTAATTTGTTTATGAACTTCACTGAGAGGCTGAAAACAATGTAAAGTTACATATCAATGTAACAATTTCTGTCCCCTCACTGTCTAATTGACCCTCATATTCTTTACATATTGCATTATTAATCGAACAACAATATCATTAAAAAGTTGACACGGTCCAAAACAAAATAGAAGGGACAAGAAACTAAGAATTCATTTTATTTGACCTTGCAGGGTTGCTGTTCTACATGTACTGTATGTCACTAAACATTATTTTTAGGGGTGATGATTTTGAACAAACGTACAACATTTACATTGTTGGTACATTGTTGGTACATGTACATGTACATGGAATCTACCAACTTTGTGGCCCGAATTCACAAAGGAGGTTTGTCGACAAACCTTGGTTTTCGTACGTCATATGACGCGTTTTACGCGTTTTTTACAAACCTGGTTTGTAAAGAACAAAAGGAGGTTTGGCGAAACAAAAGGAGGTTTGAGCTCAAACCTTGGTCTGAGCTCAAACCTTGCTTTGTGAATTCCGACCTGTATGTTTAGACTTCGTGCTTGCAGAGAGGCCGTGAAAAGCTGCATTTAAAAAAGGGCACTCACAAAAAATATCTCTGCCAAAATAACATAGGATCTCCAGGAACATGAGGTGAGTCTGTAAAGTTTCGCCTACCCTTTTTGCTGAAATAGGTGTGTAAGCTTTATGTGCAGTTATGAAAGACAGGTAGTCCTTCCATCTAATTCCATTAGTTGGTTGTAAGGGAAGCAGAAAATGATAGAAACTGATCAGTGAAAGTTGAAGAAATATATAAATAAAACAAAAAACAAAAACAAAAGATGATAGGAAAGGGATTATGAATTTATGGATTTGTTTAAGTTGTGCATTATACATGTATGTATTAAAGTTGTAATCAGCAATTCAGAGAACATGTTCATGTACATGTAAATCTCTATTTTTTCTGAAGAAAATAGATCAGCATTTTTCAACACGTGTATATGTTTCACATACAAACACTGTACATTGCTCACTATTAGAAGGATGTAGAATTAATACAAATATTTATACAGGTGTATATATTATTGCTGATTTGAAAAACACATTTTTGATCAATTTAGCCCTTAAAAATATCTGTCCAGGTGGAGTTCACCTTTTAACAATGAAAGAGCCTAAATTGCACTACCAGTAATCATAAGAGAAGAGTGTGATTCTATGCCTCAGGCCAAAATCAATTTAGTATGACAGGGAAATCACCAGTGACAGGAGACCCTCATTTTCCCTCTGACGGCCAGAAATAACTCAATGAGCACTGCTTTTTACATTACCCTTCTCTCGGGCTTGTACACTGTACATGCACATGCACTGTACGTTGGCCAACCAAAACAGACTTTAAAGGAACTATTTACAGTTTTAGGAGCCTGCTTTGCAAAAGTCAGACTGACCAAGAAAAAGATGTAGAGTAGGGTATCTGAGAAGAAAAAAATTGTCATTGGCTGTTTTCAATGAAGGAAAATTTTCTTCAAAAAAATAAAAAATATTTGAATATTATTTGTAGGATCATAGAACTCTGCTTTATTGGTTTTCATCAGTTTAAAGTGCTTACAGTATATAATATATAATATGAGTTCTCTATATTAATTGTCGTTGTCATAATATTGGCTGGGAAGAAAACAAATGTATTTCAACATTTTTAAAGATTTGATATATTGTTCAACAAAAAGAGTTTCTTATTTGGTATCAAAAAGGTTTTTTTTGTGTGGAGGTTTTCAATAGACTTCAAAGTTTGTCTAAGTGTGCAGGTAGCTCTAATTATGACTGAACTGCGATGCTTCAGTCAGTCAGTTGGTCAATTTCTTTATTTCTTTTTCTTTCATGTATTTTCAGTCATTGTCTGTGATGCAGATAAAGTGTACATGTACATGTATGTATTATGTGATACACAAACTGACTCACAACAATACAACAGACTCCAGAGAAATGTGTGCATTGATTCAAGTCATTTCAGCAGTAGACCAATCGTATTTAATCAATTATTTTTTACATTTGTATGTTCCCTAAAAAAGAAAAATAATAATACAAAAATAAAGATATAAAACAAATTATGTTAATAGTAAATACATTTACATAGTGCTTAGTCATGATGTTTTAATAAAGAATTATCATTATTCTGATCTCTCCCTGTACATGGTACTTGTTTAGAGTGCGGAATTCTTTCACATGTCATCAAAATGTGGTAGGCAGCTCATATGACCCAGTTTTTCCTGCTCGTTTGAATAGCTATTAGCCAACATTCTCTTTAAGTATCTTCCCCAAATAGCTATACTGGCTGGCTGGCTGGCTGAGTTTGCAAATGGGGCAGCAAAAGTACACAGTTATTTTACTCACCGATTAATATAAACTAGTGACTTTCGTATTGCTCCTTTCCGAGATTTATCCATTGAGCGCCCTAAGTGTTTGGTATTGGTTTTGATGTTGGTGTATATGGACAAAGTAGAAGTGGAACAGTGGCAACGATTTAGCTGTTATGAGTATGTGGGTGTAGATACATATATTATGGTCGGTTTTGAGAGATTCACTTGGAAGTATGTGTTCATGTAGTGTACATCTGTACATGCGTACAGTATGCCACCCATTATGCTACACCAGCCAATGTGCTGAGTGTGAATGTATTGCTACATTGTAAAAAAAGAAACATTAATAATAATGATAATAATAAAACAGCAGACTAGGAAAAAAGACAAGCCTCAGCTCACAATTGTAAACTAAAAAACAGTTAAATGTCAGGTAGAGTTTTAGAAAAATAACACTCCAAGAAATCGGGTTCTTAATTATTTGTGTGTGTGTGAGTATATGGTATTAAAAAGTTGCCTAGCAACTTGTGACGAAACTCCGGAATGTAAGAAAAACGCAGCTAATGTCAAAGCTACTTGTGCACTTGTAAATGTACATGTATGCACATTTCAATTTACAAATTATTGAGCACAAAAGCATTCTTTAGTATTCATACAAAGCCCTAATACAAACATTAATGTAGGTATAGGTATGTCCCTTTGTGAAGTTCCCCAGGTGCTTCACTGTCAAAACGATGCATTTGAACAGAAATATTACCAGCTGGTATTTTGACAGTAATTGCAGGGTTTTAACGAGTTGAATGCTAAGTGACTTCCGTTGTGAGTGATTTGTAAGGTTGCACTCTATTTGTTGACCTTACAATGTACATGTACATGTACATCAATGCATTTATATGTTCTCTCTGCATGTGTATGTACATATATATATATATACTCTAGGAAGAAACAGGGATTTCAAAAAATATTCATGAATGCAGGGCTGTCAACTTTGGGAAACTGCTTGGAGGGAGATTTTTTTTTTGGAGGGAGATTTTTTTTTTGGAGAAAATATTAAAGTGACTTGGTAACATTGTTGAAGGTTGATGAAAATATTGCTTAATTTTTGTATGAAATGTTACTTACCGGTACTATATTCCTTCTACTGTACTAACCCTTTGACATGCAAAAAATCCTGAAAAAATTCTCAAACCATGAAGATATTTATAGTTTTCTTTGAAGGCGTCGATGTACGACACCCTCAACAGTGATTAAGAGTAAATTCTCCCAACCATTTTTGAATTTTGCCAACCGTTTTTCCATGAAAAAAGACATGAAACAGGCTATAAAAGATCTGTCAACACTTAAATGTCTGGAATGGAATGTAGAGCCATTTTATTGCTTTGTGACGATTTACATTCACCTAAAATGTAATTAAATTGTAATGATATAGTTGGGAGAATTAAGGAATAGATCAGATCAGTTTTTCCCAATTTGTACCATGAATAAGGGTCAGTTTTCACTCAAATTTTCAGATTATCTTTAATTGTACATCTAGCATTGAAGTCACTACCTTAGCACCACTATCTCTCATCTTTACAATGTTACCCAGTCCCTTTAAGTGCCAAATCCATCTATATAGTCCATGTACACGTACATGTACATCATGTAAATTATTTGAAGACATTGAAATACCTATGAGCTTGTTGTACATGTACATACAGTAGTAGCCTGTTTTATACACTATAGGAACAAACACAAAACTCATTTAGAAACTCTGTATAAAGAATGAAACATGAATATTTCTTGAGGGTTGTAGTAATGCTGACAAAGTGATGCAGACGTACGTACTGCATCTTCATATGTTGTTACTAATGGAAGTGGCTGCCTGATCTAGTACTGGTACTCGAGAAGGTTGTTCAAAATTATTTACCAGCCCCTGCAGTAGCTGGACATGCAGGTAATGGTATCTAAACCTGTCATAAGTAACAGATGTACAGCACCTGCATTAGATTTATGGGACGATCCACCATAAAGCTAATTACTTGTTTTAACATACATACATGTATACATGTACATGTACCGGTATATATCCTCTCAAAATTTTCACATGCATTTGATAAATGTAGATCTGTATGCTATGCATGCCTTTAATGTACACGATATTACAACTTTAAATGTATACTGTGCCTCTATTTGCAGTGTTAGGGACTCTTGGAGTGATTTTTACTAAATTAATATCTGTCTTATGTTTTTGATTGCAGGTGTAGGAAAAAGTAGTCTTCTTTTGAGGTTTGCAGACAACACATTTTCAGGTAGGTTGGTTTTTTCTTCTTCTTTTGATATTCATTATAGCGTAACGTAATGTAGAGGTGAATACATTTTCCTATTTGTCTATTCGTGTCTGAAATGTAGTGAAAATTGTTTTTCTGCAGGTGAAGATTCCCTTTCTCATACCCTCTCTCACTCTCATTTTCATTTTCTCTTTTTAATTCTCTCTCTCAAGTCTCAACCCCCCCTCTCTCTCTCCCTCCCCCCCCTCTCTCTCTCTCCCCTCTCTCTTTCTCTTTCTCTTTCTTTGTGTTTCTGACTCTCACTTTCTTCTTCACTTTGTGCCTTTCTGTATCAGTACATTTTACTTTCTTTGTAATATTCTGTAGTGAATAAATAATGACTGCTTTCATTAATGTCTAAATCTATATTTGTAAGAATATGATCGATGATGTGGTTGAAACCAAGTTGTCTTGAAATTCTTCATTTACTACTAGCCCTGGCTGATGTACTTTGCATATGTTTTGTATCCAGTTTGCTTATGTATAATATCCAGTTTCCCTTCAGTCTAGTTTCGATATTACGTACCGGTACCCACTACTGATTTTTCATTCATTCTCATCTTTACTGTACTTTCGTTTATTATCTTTTGTTTTACCAGGTTCTTATATTACAACAATTGGTGTAGATTTCAAAATCAGGACGATCGATGTCAAGGGTGAAAAGGTCAAGTTACAGATCTGGGACACGGCAGGACAGGAGAGGTTCAGAACCATCACATCAACGTAAGATTCATTTCATGATAAATATAAGGCCAAATAAAAAAAAATCATGTTTAGCGTCCTGCCTTGTTGAAAAATAGGAAGGAGGAGGCCCTTTTTTCTTTCAATATGGCCGCTCAGTAGGTTTTCCCGGACAGTCTGGCTTTTTTTCAAGATGGCCGCTGGCATTTTTTTTAATAAAAAAAAAAAATCAGTAATAGATCCATTTTAGAAATGTTTTTCAGACGGCCCCCGAAAAGGAAGCGGCTAAACATGTATATTTTTTAATGGCCTAAGGGTGATACAACTTGCAGTGTGTCCTGGGCCCCGTCTTACAAAGAGTTGATATTAATCTCAACTTATTTGCGATAAGAGATAGGAGATGGCAAACTTGTGATTGATAACAGGACTTGCGATTGATTTGGATCGATCACTTCTCTTTGTAAGACGGGGCCCAGTACGCCAAATGATCTCTATGGATTTGTTTTATTAAAAAATGAAAAATCTCTTGAAATAACCAGGAAAATATCGATACAATAGTCAATTAATGAGCATGAGAGCATCTTGCTCTTTTCAAATTGTACTTTTATAAATAATTCCTTTTAATAATAATAATAATAATACATGAGATTTATATAGCGCCATTATCCATTTTAATTAAATGCTTAAGGCGCTTCAAAATATTAGGGAACACATTACATCATGACAAAAAATCGTGTACATTTACATAAGAAAGAAAATGCAAAAATGAAAGAATGAATGAATGTCTGTCTTCAAAATGTGAAACGTCAAATTGTGCCATTTCAACACTAAAAGAAGATGGAAATTTAAGGAATCCGGCCATGTGCCTGAGAAGGCTGAGATCCTCATAGAAACCGCAAGTGGAGCGCGGTGCTACGCATGCAGCATCCTGGAGAAACAGACATTACTTTAATTACACTTCACTCTGAGTATCACCCTCCAGAGGTGACGATGATGAATTTTACCAGATCGGGTTTCTTAGCCTGATCTGCACACATCTGTCTTCTGCGTAAAATGTTCAATGTGTACCGGTTACGTTTCTGTCAAGAAATGTGGCATCTATCGTCCAAATGTGGCTCAAATTATTTAATTAGATAGTGCCTTTCCATGTAGTTTTTTTTGCTAGTGATAGAATGTTAATGTGAAAATCGTGATAAGCATTTAGCATCTTTTAAACATTATTATTAATATTGTTATTATCATGAATAAAAATTCATGTTTTAGATATTTCATTAGTGCCTAGGATAAAAGTTGATTTTGTTGCTCAGTGGTATGTACAGTGTATATAAATATCTACATGTACAAGCAAATAGAACATAAACATGAAACAAAACAGAAATATGATTCCCTCAAGATTCATATGAAAGTGAGCAGTGAAGTAACAGAGAAGAGAATTGAATAGCAGATTGATATGTTAAAAGAGAGAGTTATTGACATTTCATGTAGGGATTTATTACCAAAAGAAATTTGTTTCTATCACACTTAAACTAACCAGTTTATGATTCTGTTAGATCCATGCACAAACATATACCGGTAATGCTGTACATAATGTACTCTACATGTACATTTAGGTATTTTGTACATCATCTGTAATGTTGTGAATAGATGCACACCATGACTAGTAAATGTATACTGTATTTGTTGGAACATTTATGTTGTATTAGGTATCTTAAGACAGATTTCCAATAAGTACTTTATTCAGTTTTCAAACATTCAATTATCAAGTCGGAATATATTTTTGCGGAGATAAAACATAATAGTTTTTTCATATAAAAGTGATTTGCTGATGCTTGCCTAAAACGTAGAAGCTGTGTTCAAATTTCATATTACGCATTACATGTAAATGAACAATGTATTTGTTGAGTACATGCGAATAAGGCAGAGACATTTGAGAGCAGCATGGCGGGGGGGGGGGGGGGGGGGGGGGAGTCAAGAATTATTTAGATAGCTCCCTCGGAAAGACGTGGGGAATGTTGAAAGTCAACATTTCAGTCTTCTGAACGGTTTTCTCTTCTCCATCTCAAAATACATCTCAAAATACAAACTCCAAGGAGGCCAAGAAAAGAAGGATAGTGCACATTATGAGGTAGAAGTGAAAGTGCAGTCACATTTCCCTATCAAAGGGCTGATCTGACGTTTGCTTCAGAAACAATTATTACCCAAATCCTTAATTGTCAAAGCTGTAGGGTTAGGCCAATGGTTAGGATTGCAAGTTGGTTTAGGTTAGGTTTATGGTTAAAGTTAGGTTACAGCTTAAAATAATCACTCCAGCCCAGGGTTTATTCTGTCAAAGTTGTAGGGTTAGGGTTAGGATTGCAAGTTGGTTTTACATGTAGGTTTAGGTTTATGGTTAAGGTTAGGTTACAGTGTTGGTTACAGACTCTACAGAGCTGATTTAGGAATACTGGCAACGCATGAAACTGACTGTTTAGCCATCGTTTCCGGAGCATGTGTCGAGTTTCCTTGAAGATTTTCATTTGGCAAGAAATTTAACACTTTTGTGGATTATCCCATAAATTAATCATTCTTGTGTCACATGTACATGTATATTCCCCAAGAAATATTTTCATTCAGGTTTTATTTTCACTTTCAAGTTGTTTACGAAGAGGGAAGTGTTATGATAATTTCGTCAGCTTAAAGATAAGAAGTTTGTAAATTCAAACCTTTTTAAATATGTAATTCTAGTCCTCCTGAGGTCCTTCAACAGTACATGTAAATCCCCAATACAGATTATTAGAGCAAAAACAATTTTACAAAACCATCATTACACAGATAATTGACTTCAGTGGTCGAAAATCATCTTTGAAAGATGGAATCATGCATGTTATTTAAGTACGGTAGTTATCTCAATTATTTTTATTATTTTATCCTTACTATTTTTATCTTTGAATTATGATATGCCCATTGCCAAATTGACCTGATCATTTTTTTTATAGAACTACATGTTGTACCAGGAAACAGACATGTGCTTCCTACCTTCCTCTTTTCATTTTCCCGTCCTGTTTAGATTTTAAAGAGTAATTTTGTGTACCGGTACTAAAGGGGTCATTTTGGGTGTTATGCTGCGAAAGCAAACCTGGGGGGTGTTTCACAAAGATCCTAAGTAGAACTTAACACTAAGTTGGACTTAAAAATTATGGACAGCCATTGGAGCCTTAATATGAAATATATTCAAAAGCAGAAATTCAAGTATTTTAGACTTTTTCTATAAATTCCACATAAAGAACATGAAATCTCCTTGATGATAGAAAATAAGAATGATTTGAATCAACATTTTATGCCTTTCAAAATAACTTTTACAAAATATTTTCAAAGATGCTAACTGCTTTCCATAATTTTTAAGTCCAACTTAGAGAAAAGTTCAACTTAGAATCTTTGTGAAACACCCCCCTGGTTTGTCAAAACGCGTCAAAACGCGTCATATGACGCAAAAAAACCAAGGTTTGTCGACAAACCTCCTTTGTGAACTCGGGCCATTGTGTTTATCATTAGGTAGACATAACAAATCCTTCAAAATTATGGGTATGGGAAATGGGTAATTTTGCAAAGTCAGTGTGTTGTACAAACAATCCTACCATCAATTGGTGCCTACATGTAGTATTTTGTGCAAAATTGCACATGTGGTAAATGAGTCGACTAGTCCGAGTCGATCTGAATATCACCTCATTCACTCATTGTGATATACCGGGTATGCAACAGTGTAATATACCAGGTATGTGATTTATATTATTATTATGTGGTATGAATATTGACCCTCCTCCAATTCACTAAAGTCTTACAGTGAATGGTACATGTAGGAAGGATGGTAGGAAGGAAATTGTTGAATGCTGTCTTATCCTGGCATCTTTCTTAAAGGGAGAGGGGGAAATGATCAGATTTCAATGCCTTTAACCGACATACATTTTTCTATTTTCAGGAAAATAGTGATTTTTTTTTGGTAATATACAGTTAATGATGTTCTTAATGACTGGTTTGTATTGGTGTCCATACTTTGCAGGTATTACAGAGGTACGCATGGAGTTATAGTGGTCTACGATGTATGTAGTGCGGAATCCTTCGTCAACGTCAAGAGATGGCTCTATGAAATAGACCAGAACTGTGAAGACGTCAGTAGGATATTAGGTAAGTATGGCTTTGTTATTGATAGGCCCCTGGGAGTACTTAGTCCTTGGTTTAACTTCCTTAGTTAAACTCGGATTGAGACCAAGCTCAAGCCCAGAATGGGTTTAAATTTGTCAAGAATATTGACCAAAGTGTAAAGTACTTCAGGGGCTCGTTGCACAAAACTTACCATTGATGGTAACTTTGCCATCAATGGCAACTACCATGGTAACATGGTTCAACAGCCAATCAAAATCAAGGTTTCCATGACAGTTACCATTGATGCGGGCAAAGTTACCATCAATGGTAAGTTCTATGCAACGGGGCCCTGGTGCGTATTCACTTCTCAAAATTGCATAACAGTGCTGTGAGTTCTGATAATGTGTCTAATAATAAGAGAGAGAGAAAGATAGGTACAAATTTATATGGGCATAAATCGATTTAAAGGTAAAGACCAGTAATGGTCATGCGATTGCATTGTGAAAGAAACTTTGTGGAATCGATCAGAAAAGGTTGATCATCTAGCATCTAGCATCTGCAAGGTTCTGGAATCATCAAAATGATAAGAAATTTGGCCCATTCTTCGTAAAGTTACAAGCACTATACACAGAAAGATGTATATGGGACTACCCTATATCTCTCACAGACCATGAGAGAAACAAATTTACCAAACATATGAATTAGTAGGCGGTTTCCCAGCAAATTTTTTATCATCATGTATTAGTCAAAACATATTCTTTCACATGATTGGTAATGAGAGCTTCCATTTCATTTTTTGAAATTGGGGCGTTTCCAATACTGGTCTTTACCTTTAACTCTTTTTATAATTGTTCTATGATATGAAAGTATAAAAGATTAGGTGCATTGTCTAGGAAATTGGTCAACAGTTTATAAGAAAACTCCATTACTTCTCCTAAAATTATACATTTGACACTACTGACATTTGTCTTTGCTTTATTTGTTTGTCGCCCTCAGTTGGCAATAAGAACGATGCACCAGAGAGGAAAGTGGTCGAGACGGAAGACGCCCAGAAGTTTGCAGAACAAATGAATATTCAACTCTACGAAACTAGCGCGAAAGAGAACATCAATGTAGAAGAGGTATGCTATCAGAAAGGGCTTCGAAATATATCACACCATGATACCTCTACACTAATAACTAATTGTCTATGTATACTCATTAGTCCAAAACCCTGCATGCTTCTTTTTATATTACTATTTCATCTTTTAAAAACATGTATTTATGTATGCATGTGGACTCAATCTGCAAGCGCAAAATTGGGTTTTATAATTCATAGTGGTTGCAGGAAAATTGTCTGGGATTTAGTTTACAAATTTCATTCTTCAAAAGCCAGAGGCTTTCGGGGAAAAATTTGTTTTTCGGTTTCAGAACAATTTAAGATGAATGAGAGCAATAAAAAGCCATTTCATGAAGTTTTCTGAGACTGGATGAATGTCCTATTTGAAGGGAATTATAGTAACAGGAGAAAATTACAAAATGATGCTCTTTCATGAATTTTGGTCTCATGAAAGCAGAGCAAATATAATAAAATATGCTTTCTGTTTACTTCATTCATGTAGTCATTGTTTAATCTTGCTGAATAGATTAAAATCTCATGTATATTGTGGTAAAACCACAAGACTTCAAATCCCAATTCAATGAATATTAAAAAAACAATTGAGACAGATTAATTTCAATCAAAATGTCTAAGTTCCGTTGTATGTGATCATAATCATCATACAGCTTTTATTGTCTCATTTCATGTTTAAATTGATCTCATTTTGTCAATTCAAGAATTCAAAATGACCATCCTTCCCATTAAAGTGTCATTGAATGTGGTCCAACTTGAAAATCAAGATTAGTTTTGGTTTCAGTGGCTATGGCTTCCATTGTATCTCATCTGGTTCTTGTTGTGTCACTCGCTTTGCTTGTATAGACCATATTTACAAACAGTGTGGCTAAAATAGTAGGCGCTAATAAGGGATATTAAAGCTGAGAGTAACAGCTAATATCTTTCTTAATCATATTCTTGCTAGGCACTGGTTTCAAGCAGAAGTTCTTCATAACATTATAAAGAAACTCTAGGTTGTGTTCTGTTTAGCAATGGCCATTTTTCTTTTGGTGGGATATTACATACAATTTTGCTTTAAAAATGAGGCTTAAATGGAAATCATAACAAAATGGCATTAGTTCAAACAAGCAAAATACTTCCCCAATATTTAGTTATGAAAAAACATATCTATATGATAGGATTAGAGATATTAAATTCCTCCTGAAAATTAAACTAATGAAACTAAACTTGGAAGCCCAGCTACATGTATATTCATAAGCATGATGAAATTTACATAGTAAGTAGTATTATGATATAGCTTGCATGTACATGTACAGTACGTACGTTTCATAAATGTTGAAGCATGTAATATTCATTGTTTTATTAAAGTTTACTTTTAAGATATGATTTTCTCACCTACAAATTTATTCAGAAGTTGAACACTCCTGTATTTCTATAATATGTTTGATTGCATCATTAATCTAACTAAAATCTTGTTCCATATATTATTATTTCTGAATAATCATTTTAGAGAAATATATCTCATTCAAACAACAGCCAGGGGAGAAGGTTTTGTGCTTTAATATTTTTTTGAATATCAAACAAGACTTATTAAATACAATGCTTTCCTCCCTGTTGTCTTTTCTTTTTTTTCTCTGCCACTCTAGATGTTTAATGGAATCACTGCATTAGTGTTAAAGCAAAAACTTGAAAATCAAGCAAAGCTGAATGCACCCAACGATAATGGCAAGGTTAATCTAGAAAAGAAGGGCAAGGGCAAGAAAGGAAAATGCTGCGGTAAATGAGGGCAGCTTGGACTTCCTAGATTCTATACCGCCCCCATCATACTCTTTACGTTTTTTTGCCATTCTGTGTCGAAACTTTACTACGAACAAGAAATCTTTGATCGCGTTGTCCGCCATTCTGCGTTGCAACAGTGGGAGCCTTGTGGAGGACGTTGCGATCACGTGAGCCATAAGAGCTATGATAGAGATCAGCGTCTGTGCGATTAGTTACCTACGTTGCAAGGTGCTCTAGGATTAAAGACGGTGTGTGCGTGTTCAGGCGAGCCCTGGATTGTAATGATAGTGGATGTCGATCCTCAAAGGAGCGGAAGGCAACAGTTCAACCTGAGATCCGAGACTCCGGAGGATTCCTTTCCTCGACACACCTTTACGTCCAAGTAATGCCATTTTTATGGGGAAAGCGCCGGGCAACGAGCAAGATCTTAATCCACAATGTGTGAACCAGTCCTTGAAGTTACGCATCCCCAGCGTAATTTTGATAGATTCCAAAGTGAATGACCTGCTGTTTGCCTGAATGAACTTACATGGACCTGTATGAGTGGGGAGGTGCTGGGAATGCTGGGCTAGTTTATTGTAGTATTCTTATGCAATTTTTTCTTAATCAGCAGGGTTACTTTATTCATTCTACTAATGATTCATTCTATCGGCCTAAAAATTTACATACCATATCAGAAATACCAGTAACATTCAATTATGTAACAGCATATTCTTTTCTTTTTATTTGCAAATTCTACATGCATGATACATTTGTATGTATAACCTCAACTTTATTATCATTATTCTTTCTGAAAAATAACTCATGGCAAACCTTTTTGCTGCTTTTGTTTTTGTCATTGTAACAAGAAATCATGAACTCACTCTGCTTTCATTTTTACCTTTTTGATGAATTTTGAAGAAAAAAAATGCTGAAATCAGAAATGTAAGTCTTTGATAATTCATTGTACCAGTAATCCTATAATCCTATTAGGCTGTATGAACCGTTGGTGCAATTTGATAAGAATGGTGTGGTACTGGTACTTTATCTTAAAAAGGAAATCCAACCTTGATACACCTGTAGCAAATTATTCTCTTGGAAAACAGACACATCAGAGAAGTAGACTGGCGAAAGTTTGAATGAAATCAGACAAAAAATGAGAAAGTTATGAATTTAAAAAAGTTGTAATCACTTCAGATAATGGGCTCTTCAAATTGACTGGATTGGTAATGTCTCTGTGATGTAGTGGCTGACAACTTTCCCATTAATTCCAATTTACAAAATGACTATCAATTTTTCAAAGATGTGTTTAATACTCAGGAGGGTCTATTCTTCTTTAATATTCTATCAGTAATATATTTTGAGTAGTGGCCCAATGGAGAAGGCACTTCGGAGAAAAAAAACCTGAAATTAATGATACTTTTTGAACATGACACATGGGAGAGTCATCCACGCTTACGCCACAATCCACTAACTAAACTGCCAATTTGAGATTCGCATAGACTTTAAGTGATCCCATACTTCAAACTTTCATGACTTTCTTATTATTGGTCTGATCTATTTCAAACTTTCGCCATTCTATTTATACAAATGAACTTATTACAAGGGTCTGATTGCCTTTCAATTGCAGAATGATCCGCCTGTAATGGTGTGAAGGTATTTTTCAATACTAATATAGAGAGGCTATATTTTAAAGAATAACAAATTTAATGTACATGTACCAAGTGGATTGTACATATACCTGCCCCTTTATATAGATGTAATTTTTCAATTTGTAAATTATAGGAAATAATTATTTTTGAGGAAAAGCCTGTATGATAGCCAGAAATCTTGAAGGGCATAGCTACATATTTGTCCCGTGAATATAATTTTTGTTTGCAATTGCAAGTTCAATAATTGCAATGAATTTAGCAATCGATAATTTCAAATTAATGATTCATTCTAGCGTCATATGAAATAAGTATGAAAATGTACATTCATCAAAAATAATTGTATTCTATTTTTTAGTAATATTTGAAATTGAGATTATGAATATCTGTGACAAATGGCAGAACTTTCTTTCCCTTTTTTTGGTAACGAAACTATGAAGATTAACTTTGCTCTGCTAATTAGCATGAGTTGAGATTGAGAAGACATGTAGATGTGAATGGCATTATTTCTATGCATGTGTTTCTGTACCAACCACACTAGATGTTCAGCGCAGTTACAACTCTGGTCTTGCTGGACAAGAAGGAAAAAAATCTGGCTCGGCAGAATTCTCAGCACGCGGGGGACACCCTGAAGGTCAAGGAGGGGGGCAGGTCGCGGAAAAGGGGCTGTTGCAACTGATTGTTTTTAGTGCTCCGTTTTGTTTGTGTTTCTTCTTCCAGAATCAGGCTCAAGTGATGGGCAAACTGATGGTTTTCTAAAAAAGATTTTTTTTTTTTAGTTGACTTTTGAAACCCGAGGTTGGATATTGTACCAAAGGTTTCTTTTTTAAAGAATATATCTATGTATGAGTGTTTTTTGATAGAAAGAGTATTTTGGCAAACAAAATGTGTGGAGAAATATTTTATGAACGAGGTCTTCTTCTAGGTATATGTAGCTTGCATTTGATCGTTATCTTGGCACCAAAGCACATTGAACGATGAGATTCAGATAGAAATGGCAAAGTGGGCCAGTCTTGTCAGGTAAGAAGCGTCAAACTTCTCAAGAAAGCTCAGATCAGTCACACCAGCAAACCAGTTCCAGACCGATTCTGTACTGACTTGATTCTTTGCCATTCGCTGCAGTGTGATTTTTCTGGTTTGGTCAATTGTCCATCAGGGGGGCATTTCACAAAACTTGTCATCAGTGACAAAGGACAGTTTCTGTTATAAGCTACTGAAATCCTTGCTTCTGATTGGATATCAACAGATTTGTCACTGATTTTTGTCATTTGTCATTGAAAAATGGCTTTGTGAAACGGGTCCCTGGTGTCGGTCTCCTCGGTGTGACTGGGATATCATACACCACACTAGGATCACACTTGACTCAGGAAGCTGTTGTCTTCTGTACAGATTGACCTGACTTTGACTTTTTCTTTGGTCGTTCGACCAGGACAAGTTCCAATTGAATCGGTTGCATCAAGTAAAAGGAAAAGTCCACTCCGGCACCAAGTGCATACATGTACAAAACAAAAGTTAGTGGAGATCAGATGAAGAATATTATATGATTTTATCAAGCTATGATTGTGATTGAACAAACTCGACCAACTTAGTTCTGGGTTGACTCCAGGGCTCAAATTAATTTTTTGTCCACGGGGGCTCTTCCAAAGAAAAAAGAGCCCCCGTGAGCCTTCTCACGGGGGCTCTTTTAGTGCTGACGGGGGCTCTTATTTTAATACAAATTTCCATTCAATTTGTACCCAAGAAACTCCTTGGTATTTTATTATTATTATTTATTTAAGTCGGCATTTTTCCTGTTAGAAATTTACTTGTTACATTGCTGTTATTGACTTATACCCCGTGATGACATTCTCTCCATTTCTTCCCGTTCTGCACATAATTTCCTCCTCATTATTCAGAGCAACCTTATTTACATTCTTTCTTTACTTTTACTCTTTACCATATCCTTCCAAAACACAGGGGCGGATCAATCTTTTTTCTAAGGGTGGGGGGGGGGGGGGGGGGTAACCCAAATACGATGTGGAGCATCGTCCACGAGCCGCGATTCGATTTTTGTTTTTGCTATTTTGAACCCCCGTAAGTGATGTTTTCCTGGCATCTGCTAACATGCGGAGCATTGTCTACGAGCCGCAAAGCGGCGAGGCAATTTTTTGGTACTTTTTTGAACCCCCGTTTATAGTGATGTTTTTCTGGCATCTACTAATACTGTGTAGGTCTGGACACATGATAGCATTTTTCTATGCACATCACATTTTCACTTGGCAGCCCAAGGGGGAGGGGGGTTAAACCCTTAAACCGCCTAGATCCGCCCCCGCAACATCTTCTTCTTCTCAATATTGATATACTGATCGAGTTACATTATTTGCTGGTCTTTTAGAATCACCAGATTTCAGAGGATTCACACTTTTCACAACGAAAAACTTCTTCATGTTTCAGTCTTTGCGCGATCGTCTCCTGCTCCCGCAGATATTGAGCTTCAGAGTGCTCACCGTTACTAGCGGCGCAGTATAGCCACTGCTGATGGCCGCACTAGCTGCATGCACTGCAAGCTTCCGTTGTATTTATCGGTAATACTCATAGAGATGGGAGAGAAGGTGCCCTCTAAGTTCCATTTCATTGGTTTAAGGTTTGAAAATTACTACTCAATATTGTGTTAAAGTTATATCAGAAAAGATAATCTTTATTTTATAATTCCACGGGGGCGATTTTTTATTTTACAATCGCCCCCGTGAGCAACCTGACGGGGGCGATTATGGAGCTCACGGGGGCGAATCGCCCACCGCCCCCGTGTATTTTGAGCGCTGGTTGACTCTCCCTTTTCATGCAAAGAACTAGTTGGCAAACAGAAGGAACACCATTTCATGAAATATTTCACTTTCACTGACTTGTCTTTTGCCAAAATACAATTAGATTTATAAACTGAAAACACACAGTGGGAAATCTCTACCCGCCATTCTTTATTGTTGACAATGTCACATGTAAACTCCCCCCAATAAAAGTTCTGCAATTCAAGTTAGAGTATTGATTTCTCTCTTGAAAGTATTCTATTATATTTGACGTTGGTACCATTGAAAAGCCTGCAAATGGTGAATTTTCATTTGTTAGGAGGATGGATTGTATTCTGCATGATGTTGAGAGGGTCACTGTTGATAATAACAATGCACTTTTGACTTGGCGCCATATTCAGGTGTACTGCACATTCCATGATTACATAATCATGGCACATGGGGCTTCATTGTAAAGGGAAATAAACAAGCTTTTCAATGATACCAACGTCAAATATGATGATATACCAATAAAAGAGATATCAACGCTCAAACTTGAATTACAGAACTTTTTTTTAGTAGTTTTTGAGTACATCTAGTAATGGAAATCGTTGTGTGAAGGATCTTCAAATGACACTGTAACCTGTTGAATGTAATGCTGCATAATCCAATCAATGAAAATACGATATTTAAACTTGTGTTCTGATTATAAAGGTATTTTGAATATTTGGGAACTGATTAAATTTACAAGGCTAAGTTTTTTAGTCATTGATTTGGGATAGCCCTTTTTATTATGGACCAAGATTTTTGTGCATTCCTTTCATTTTGATTAATATTTCATTACCCCTTCCCTATACCATGTAATTATTTTCTTACATAAGAAAACTAAAAACATAAATTCATTTATTGGTTTGTTTTATGGTTTAAAATTGGGACTGATAATCTATCTCATCTGTGTGGAACCAGCCAGGCATTACCGGTGAGTCCTATTATTTGACACAGAGCTTGAACTCCCTTCTGGTTCCGAACAGACAGTACGTAGCAAACCTAAGCTCAGTATATTGAAAGAGTTCCATCAGGATGGTTGTAATACATCGAAACGTTTCGGTCAATTTTGTCCTTTTGGATGCAATACAGGAATGTTAAAAGCACTAATTACAGTATGTTTAACATCCGTGAATGGGTTTTTAATTTCTTTGACATTATTCTGCTAAGATGACCCATCTGACATGTACTTTTTCATCCTTTTATAAGGGTAGCATGTAAATTCCCTTCACTCATGTTACATATACCATTATATGTTTCATTCCCTGTATTGAGAGGTCCTGGTGCAAGTTTTATCATCTGGACCTTTCATTTGAGGTGAGAATAGTCTGTCATCAAGAGAAGAAGATAGAAAATTATTAATGATAGTAAGAATAATAATAATGATAATAATAATAATGATTCATATTTAAAATATACATATACGCATATGAACTATTTTGCACACTTACTGTACCATCAGATTTGAGGTGTTTTTGTTAAAGATATCTTCCATTTTCTTTTGGGGGAGGGGGGGGGGGATCAATCTGGCAGTATTAAATAATTATTCATTCAGTTAGGATTTTCAGGTGTCCTTTTTCCTTCCCAAGGTTGAATTGCCATTGTATGTCCAAACTTCCCACTGTGTGTTTCATGCATTTCTTGGATGTGTATGATAAAATGTGTATATCATATGTTTGTATTATTGAGAAATATTATGTATTATTAACCTAAAGTTTAAAATGTATCGATGAGAATATTATTGCTTGTAATTGATCATGTGTAGGCAAGGAGGAGGCAAGATGATTGAGATGATGGAAGTATTTTGCAACTAATTTTGAATATATGTACAGTGCACAATAGAATGTCATTTGATACTCATGTTTATATATATAAATTTGAATGTATGGAAGGTCGGCCAGCAGTTTTTTCTTAATTTCTTCATTATTTGATACTTGTCGATAGTTAGATTCTACAGTATATTCTTGTATGTCAAACAAGGATACGTAAATTGGCTAGGATGGGGGTGGGGGGGGGGGGGGCAAGATCCTGCATTTGATACATACATCTATATTCATAAAACAAGGATACATACATGAATATTTTGCAAATTTGCAATATACATGAACAAAGATATCTGATCTGATTCAATAGAATAGACGTTCTCCTAGTTTGAGAGAAAAAAATTGATGGGGAAGGGTATTATCAAACTATGATAATATTAAAGAAGGGACAGGGTTTGAGTACCAACAAAGAACGGCATGATTAAATACCAACTGGAGTAAAGCAATCGGTAAAACACTAATGATTAGTTTAGCAGCATTTCACACTATTTTCCTAATTAAATGCACGGTAGACCTGCTGTGTTTTGGATATGGAAATAACATTCTTTTCATGATGAAAAATGAGATTCTATCCTCTCTTGTTTCACAATAAATGTTTTATCATTTAAAATACATGTATTATTGGCTGACATTTAGACATAACATACCGGTATATACATGTATATCCCATCAAAAGTGTGTGATTTTCATCTACATTGTGAGCAATTCGGAACCATTGTTGACGAAAGAAATTGAGTGAAAGACAGATATACAGTGTACCGAGCGTGTACATGTACATGTATCCCAATACTGTGGTCCAAAACATACATTTATGACCCCCGCCCCACCTCCCTCTCAAAAAGGGGGATTTGTACTATAATGGGAATTATGTACATATATGAATTATCTTAACAATATTTTAAATAAACTGCTTACATTAATAATTCATGAATTGGGACCAGAAATAAATGGGGACCAGAAAGAAAAAGATGTATCCTTCTTTTTCATACACTGTACCTCCACACTTTTCTTTGTTATCATAGTTTACACCCCCCCCCCCCCCCCCCATCAATTGTTGTAAATTCTAGGATACTCAGGTTCACAAAAGGAACAGAGTTGTAAAAAGTGGCGTTTAAATATTGTCGGTCTTGGGTTTACCAGGAAAATCTGGCATGTGTTTTGGGAAGTAACTATCGGTATGTGTGAAGGTTTGTATTTATTGGGGAAGAGGGCAAATAATTCCCAAAACAATCAATTTGTGTACCCCGAACCAGTGTATTTTGTATCCTTTCATTTCATGTTTTCCATATGTATAGAAAAAGATGAAAACGTGAAGTGTGTAAATTCTATAGGGGTGGGAAGACATATTTTTATGCTGTACAAAAATGGTACTCTTTGTGTCTATCAAAATGTCGTTCTTTGTCGATGTTTAATGACGTCCTATGATTATACTCTATTTGGGAAAGTTGACAAAACTTTTACATTCTTTTCAGTATGTGAGGTAGAATCTAGTTTGTTTTAGCTTACATTCTTTTTTCTCTTTTTTTTTGCAATTGAATAAAAACTCTTTTCTTACTTGTGATTGGAGGATTACCTCTCTCAGAATGTAGTTCAAATGTGCTTGCCTCATACCAATAAATATTCAACGCATACTTCTGAATGAAAAACCTTGTTGTGATCGTCTCGTTTGTTTCATATTGTATGCATGAAAATCACTGAAAATGTGAAAAAATAAGTTACCTGTTTTATTCAGTCATGAACAAAATTCAAAGAATTAGATTGACCCCAACAAAATCGTCTCTTATACATGTACACATATTTTGTCTCCATGTTCCATTAGGGGTAAACCATGTTAGGTTCATGATGAGTTTAATGATCCTCAGAGTCTCTTCCCTTTCCCCCTTTCTCTTTCCCTAAATTTCTTCCTCTCTCTCCCTCCCTCCCTCCCCTCTCTCTCTCCCCTCCCTCTCTCTCTCCCCCTCTCTCCCCTCCCTCCCTCCCTCTTTCTTCCTCCCTCTCTCAAAGAAAATTAACAATGATACCTGTACATGCAACATTATTGAAATAAGCACCAATAGAAACAATCTTAGTTATTGTTATTTGTTATTGCCACACAATTCAGTACAATATGAATGATGATAAGAATATAAACACATCTATTTGCTATTTACATACATCTAACTGTACCATAGACATTTCACAGTGACAGAATAGAATTTATATACAACTCTAAGATTCACTCGACAACAGCGACAAAGTCATTTACATGTACATTTAAAAAAATGAAAAGATCCTACGAATTTCAAGATTTTACATATTGTCCTGACAAGCTTAAAGATGAAGTTGAATTCTGGTCATGCTATTGCATTGTGAAAAAAAAGGTGTGGAATGGATCAGAAAAAGTTGATCATGTAGCATGTAAGTATTGGTGTGTATTGCAAGGTTCTGGAGTCATCAAAATCATAATAAATTTGACCCAGTCTTGGTAAAGTAACAAGCACTGTACACAGAAATATGTATATGGGACTATTGTGTTGGGCCTACTTACCTTGATTTCCTTCTCTTTCTATGCTCATTACTCAGACAGTATACATTTTCTACCAAAATTCTTTGGCAAATGACATTTATTTGTAATCTTGAGCATTCAGTGTAATTTATTTGATTCTGTGAGAATTCATTTTTTTTTTTTTTTTTTTACCAGAATTCAAGTTCATCTTGAATGTACATACAGTAACAGTACATGTAGCTTGCGATTCCAGGTATATGTACTGTCATATATTATTAACTTATACACAAAGCAGAGCTGTCCGTATGCCCGAGCCCTACAGGTATGTAAAAAATGTTGATATTTTGGAGGCCCAGACTTGGATCTTGGGCGCCTTTGTGCCCCAGGAGCCTGTTCGTGTCGAGCCCAGCAAAATGCAAGTCAGGAAAATCTCGTGCTTTTCTGGCCAAGGTATGAATCTTATTATTGATGAACACTTTACATGTACTTATATATGTAGAAAGCTTTATGGTAAATTCGAATTCATTTGAAATACATAATGATAATTTTTACACGGTTTCACACAAATTTACACACATTCACATTCTTCACTTGCATTTGAACACCATGTTAATAGAATTAGAGAAAAAGATATATACAATCAAGGTATTGTAGTCTCAAGTCTGAATTATAGTACATATAGCAGGCACACACCATTCACTTTAATACACGTTTAGCTTCATCAAGAATGTTCATATCAAGAGGGTCATTATGGTCATACATCTACACAAATGGATATTGTTCAAGTATAAATCTCAAACATGCCGCTTGTGAGTATGACAGAAGACCAGTCCATTTTGTATGTTTTTTTAAATCACAAGGTATTTGAAAATTGCATTCAGAGTCAAAATTTTCCAGGCCTAGAAAATTCCATTGAATATAAGTGTATGACTCACAATCTTCCCATTTTATTTGTACATGTACTTCTAAAGGCTTGTTCAGATACTGACGCCGTAAACTGCCATAAGAAAACTGGCACAAAAACTTATATTGAATTGCAACTGTGTGCAACAAAGGTCCTACATGCATGCGCGTAATCACTGATCTCTATGTTAACAGATACAGGAATGTAAAGCATATTACACTTACATCATACCAGTGTGTTGGCTTAGTCAGTAGAGCGTCCGCCTCACAACCGGAAGGTCGTGGGTTCGAACCCCGGGTGCGTCATACCAAAAGACGTTAAAAGACGGGGGTTGCTGCTACCTTGTTTGGCGCTCAACAATAAGGGGATAGAGCAACGTCGATCTGGTGCTGCTCAGTGGCTGCCGGGCTCACGATCAATTGGGCAAAAAGAGTTTCCATTTTCGGTTTAATAAAATTTGGAGTGGACTAAAAGATTATTATTATTATTATTATTGTCATCCACAACATTTTTTTTAAAATGCATATTTACTGAGCTCTCTGTTAAAAGATATATAAAATGTGAAGCATACCAAAAAATAATTAAGAAATGAATATTTACTGAGCTTTATATTAAAAGACACAGTATAATGTAAATCGTATTACACTTGCGTCATCCAAAAATTAAATGCTGCAGTTTACTGTGGCGTATCTGAACAAGGCTTTCGATTTAGAAATACTGTCAACTCTTATCATCCATACACATGTACATGTACATGTGTATAGAAATAAGAGCAGGGAGCTTCGCAGCATCATATTCACATGATTAACGTACCTATTCTATGCACGTACAATACATTTTACTTCAAACTAAAATGGATCATAGATCTTCACTCAACATCACACATACCCTGTTGTACTGACTGGCAAACATGTTTAGTACTTTGAAAAGAGACTAAAACCCATGAAAATCTTACAAGGTTTTCAAGGGCTAGGTTTTCCTTATGTTTAATATGAGTTAACTCCATACAATTTTAGTATTACTCTCTCGTTTTATCATATTTAAGTGATAGAGTACTTGTTCACAACTGTACAACACAGATACCACTAAACTATTAATGTCATGCATTTACTAGTACTACAGCATTTGATGTTTTCATTCACATAGATCTAAAAAATTGTCAAACAAGAAATTTATTAACGGCACGTAACTTTTAACCTTGGTCAAGGTTTACATTAGTTTCATGCCCGAAATAAATGAATCAAAAGACAGAACGATCATTTTGCAATTTGCAAAAGTATTCTCGCCAATAAGACATCTAAATTTTACAATTCTGTAAGTTTCTGGTATAACAGTAATTATTGTACTGAGTAATGAATTTGCACACGACTTGCTTCATATTCTGTTTTAAAAAAATGCACACACACGAGTACAGTGTACTACTGGATCAAATGACAACACTGCTCACTCCCAGGCAGGTATAGGACCTGGTCTCCGCCATCCACTGGGTGCTGCTCCAGGTCCAGGACTAGGGCCAGACTTTGGTCCTGCTCTTGAGCCTGGCCTCGAATTGGGTCTAGACCCTCCAAATGGTCCAGATAAAGCAGATCCTGGTCTAGATGACATGGGTACGGTGGACTCTGGACGGTTGCTCAGTCTGGATGCGGTACGTGGATAGGACTACAAGAGGACAAACAGACAATAAACAGAAAAATGTTTGGTATGGACATATCAGGGGAGTGTTCCACAAAGACTATGATTGACTTTAAGCTGGACTTAACTATGGCAGGCTGTTCACGCCACTGTTTGCTCTCACCAATATGATCTTTAGAATATTTTTTTCTTTCAATAATTAATTATCAAAAAATGTAAATTCTGTAGATATGTGACCATGATGTGTATGTCCTTTGAGAGACCAATGCCAGTAAAATGGTGAGAGCAAATAGTGGCATATAGTTAAGCCCAACTTAAAGACGATCTTAGTCTTTGTGAAACACACCCTTAAACCACGAAAGAAAGGTTACCCATTTGACCATTTCCATAATTATGATTTCAGCCGTAGTGCCCACTACATACAATAAAATCCTACTACAATCCAATTTTTGCGAGAAAAAAATAAACCACAATTGCATTAAATGCTGTAACTAAAACAGATGCAATCTACCTGATTGGGGTCCTGATAGGAACCCTACAAATCAAACGCTGCGTTGTAAGTCTTCTAAATTTCATCTAGCGACTACCGCAGTACAATGGTATCTGCGACCATGAAAATCTCAGAATATGTAGTTGTGATATATAATTTCCAAACGGGAATAGCTAATCGGCCGATTTTGGTCAAGAAACATTGTTTCATAGCTTAATTAATATCTTGACCTTTAGAGGGAGCTATACAGCATAAAGAGTGTATTATTTACAATTTCATAACTTTAGAGTCGATTTCAACGGCGACAACGTTCACTGAATATTCTAGGATCACATATGCTTCCAATATATTCATTTGAACCAAATTCATGACCCCATACCAAAACTTTGTATTACCTTTTAAGTCCCACTTGCAGGCCAAAAAAATTTAAAGGTTAAATTCCAACGACATTTGAAAGACAATACTAATTCAGAACTTCCCTCAAAACGAAAGGGCTTGAAAGTGGATCTTAGTGGGAAAATAATGACTATAAGTTGTTGAATCGACTTAAGAGCTATAGAGCCAGTAAGAAATAGTCTGATTTTTCAGACCATTGTACCAAATGGTTGTACGTTTTATGCTGCGCAAAGAGTCAATCAGTTTAATTATGGCCATTACAAGGTCGGTTTATTGATGTAGACAAATGCTCATGTACTTGTTACAGCTCATTTCATGTATGTTATTACCAAAGAAAAAAAAGATGTCAGTCAGTCACTCAGTAGTGTCTAAGGTAAACGAGTTTCCTCGCATAATTTGAATACTAGGACACTGCTAATGTTTAAATTTCACACATAGGACATACATGACATATTCATAATTCCTGCAAAGTTCTACAGAATCTGATGTTCACTGCAAAAGGGACATAGTATCTTTAAAGGGATAGGTACATAAGAATTTGGTGCAGGAAATTGACCGCAAAGAATATTGTTGAAGGGCCTACCTTGGGCTCATAATCATCAAGTGCCAAGCGAGATGCCTCCTCTCTCAGCATCTCTTCATAATCTTCTTCTGCCTGTTTCTCTGCATCAAGCTCCTCCTGGAAGCGTAATTTGGTCTCCTTCTTCCTCGACTCTCTTTCCGTCATCTGAAATGTTCCAAGAAGATATACATGTAGGGTGTTGCTTTAATAGTCTTGAAGAATCATCATATTATCAAGGTTATGAAGATGGGATACATAAAATGTGCATCTACGGTAATCTTCATTTTCAGTTGATTTTTTCTACTTCTCCATCTCTTTATGTTTGTTGCCTTTCTTCTTTACTTCTGTTTTTATCTCTCTCTGTCTTTCTTCCTGCCTTCTTCATACATATGCCACAAGCTGTCTCCTCCTGGATGTCCTTTTCTCCCATCATCTACTCCCCCCCCCCCTCCTCTCTCTCTCTCTCTCTATTGTTATGTTGATTTTGGCCCTATTCGTCTCTCTGAGAATGCCTTTCTCCTCTATCCCTCTTTCTCTCCCCTTCATGTATATCTATCTTTCCTCTATTTTAAGTGTACATGGCTAAATGCTTCTCCTTTACTGTCTATCCATCTATCTTTCTATCCCCCCTTTTTACCATATCAAACCTCTGTCTATTTATCTATCTATCTATCTATCTGTCTGTCTATCCTTCTCTCTCACTCCCTCTCTTATTCTTCTTCTGGTCCTCCCTCCTCCTTCTTCTCCTTTTCCTTCTCCACTGTCTTCTTCTTTTTCTTCTCCCTCTCTGTGAGCCGTTGAATGATTTCTATGTTTCGCAGGAGCTCCTCTGTCTCTGTCTCTGTCTCTCTCTCTCTCTATCTCTCTCCATCTCTCTGTCTCTACCTCTGTATACCCCTTACCTGTGATTCAAACTGTCTCCTGGTGGACGCCTTTCTCCTCTCCTCCTCTGCCTTCTCCCTCTGTGTGAGCTGTTGAGCGACCTCCATGTCTCTCAGCAGCTCCTCCCGTCTCTGTAACGACTCCTCCTGCCTCTTCCTATTCTCCTCCACCTGGTCGTGGAGTTGCTCCTGCCTTCCTTGCATAACCTGGTCAAAAACAAAAACCGAGGACAAATTGAAAAGCTATGCTTAAAGTGACTCGGTAACATTGCCTCGGATTCTGAAACAAAATCCTGGATTTAGTTCATGCTGCAATCATAGTTATAAACCTTTAGGTCAGTCAGGAATCCCATTACTTTTACAAGCCGATCGCCTGTCTGATTTTCAAATATTTATGTCAACACTACAGTCTATTGGGGCAAATGAGTATAGTGAAACAGGTCACTCGAAAGATTTTCACTTTTTTTGAGGCACTTCATGATTATTATGAAGCGCAATTTTGTTAGGGCTTCAATATTACACCATATCACAGACACTGATAACACGTAGGGCCATGCATCTCAGATTTATCATTGTTAAACGATGCCTTTAAGTCTTTTATCTACAGAGATTTTCCGGTTTTGTCTACTGTGCCATAATGTTTGTGAAGACTGGATATCAATAGTATTGTCTCAAAGTTGAAAGTACAAGATGACACGGTAAACAAAGGGTGGTTTTCAACTGCTATTTGCAAGAGATTTGATATATTGTCTTCCTTGCAGTAATGTTTGTGCGGCAAGGCTATGAATATTAATGGCTTGAAAACTATCAAAATAGCATGATATGTTGATGTCTTTGGGTTTTCAAAAACTACATGTATGCAAAAGAGTTTTGTGTGATTGTCTTCCTTCCCATACTGCTCATTAGGTATGGCAAGTAACACTGTTGTCTTGAAAGGCACGAATCTAAAATCACATGATACATAAATATCTTTTCTTTCATATTTGTAAGAGCTGAAACATGTATTTGTAAGGGCTTTTCTCAGAGCTCCTTCAACATGCTGTCCACGTTCCCACAGTTTGTGGTCATGAGCTCGAAGTGTGTCACAAAATAATAAATTCCATTGTATCGACATGATGACCCCCCCCCCCCCCCCCCCCCCATCACCATGTATGACATGCATAAGGTTACGAACAAGAAATCAAGTTCTCAGAAAAGTCTTACCTCTCCCATAAGTCTCTCTCGAGCCACTCGCTCCTTCTCCCATTCTGCCTCTCTCTTGGACCACTGACGTGCTGCTTCCTCCCTAAAATAAGATACAGACAAATTTAAGAATACCATTACATATAGAAGAAAAAAATCACAAACCAAAACAACAAAATATGCACATGCCTACGCTAGAACCTTGTGAATCTATATTTTTAATCATCTCGTTATATGTTACAGCATGTAAGAAGTAAGTTATGAAAACGTTAGCGTAGGTTTTACTTTCTTTTTTCATATGTCCTGTAAAATAGTAACTTTAAACTTCTAAAATTCTAAAACACTCTAAACAAGTTTCTGAGAGGAGAAAGAGGCGTCTAAGTTGAGAGGTTTGAACATCATACTGGAGATGGAAAGGTCGTAGGTACGAGCCCCGGCATGGCACGACATCCTTTGACAAGACATTAATCTGCATTTGCCACTCTTCACCCAGGTGTTCAATGAGTACCGGTAGGAAGGAATTCTTTGATTGCTAAAAGCTGCAAAATTTGTAGCCTAGCTCGAGCTGGAGTGCCTTGCTTTAGGGATACGAGCACCATCAAAATATCCAATACCATTATCACAATTATCATTAGCACAGCTTTCTTGTTATTGAGTCACCTTTTATGAGTGAACATGGCCTGGGGGGTCTTTCACAAAGACTAAGATCGACTTTAAGTAGGACTTAACTATGGCAGGCCATTCATGCCACTGGTTGCTCTCACTATTGGTATCTCAATTATGATCTTTAGATAATATTTTTTCCTTCAATCATGAACTATCAAAAACTGTAAATTCTGTAGATTTGTGACCTTGATTTGTAACTCTCTTGAGAGAGACCAATGCCAGTAAATGGTGAGAGAAAACAGTGGCATGAGTGGCCTGCCAGTTAAGTCCAACTTAAAGTCGATCTTAGTCTTTGTGAAACACCCCCTGGAATGATACTCACTTGAATAATGAATCTAGTTCACCCTCCCTAGCCTTCTCTAGTTTAAGCTGATCCTCAATGACTTGTTTCATCCAGGCAGCGTCGGCCTGCGCCTTCTCTCGTCTCTGGACGCTCATACCTTCCTCTTCGGCCTGCTTCCTGGCCATGGACTCCAGGATCTTACGATCGAGTTCCTGTCGGAAAGAAAGAACAAGTCTACTTGAGAACATTTGTTCCTTTTACTCTGTTAATTTTAAGATTGTTTCAGGACAGTTAATGTACCCCCCCCCCTCCTGAATTATCACTCCTATGATTACGACCTCCCTCACTGCAATAACCTAAAATCAATCAATTAATTAATAAGTTATTAGTGATCATTCCAAACTATTTGAAATATAGATAGATATGGAACTCCAAGGGCACCCCCCCCCCCACCCCTCTTGAATACCAAGATAAACTGGCATTTTCAGGATTAAAATATTACACTTAGACAACTATTAAAGAAAATGAGGGTAATTAATTTGGGGGTAGTTGCCATAGGGTCTGATTTACCCATGGGGTAGTCTGGAAGATGATAGTATATGAGGTAAATGCCCTACAATCTGATATTCAAAGACGTACATTATTAGGCGTGAAGATTCCCCTTGCCATCCTGCTGGCGACAGAGTTACATGAATATGCATCTTGCTCATGTATAGAGTAAGTATGGAAGATTTGAAGGAGCATGATTTTAATAATAACTTTAAAAATATAATAATACTCCATCATTGAAGGTTGAATTATATTGGGCTCTGCAGGCTTGCATTTCTAGTACAGAGTACAGGCATAGTTGATTATTCAGTTTTAAAATTTGAACCAACATTTCTCTTCTATCATCACACAAACTCACAGAGAAGTAACAGGATAAACATAACACTCCAGGGGGTGTTTCACAAAGAATCTAAGTTGAACTTATCTGTAAGTAGGACTTAACAATTATGGAAAGCCTTTAGCATAATTGAAAGCACTTTGTACAAGTTATTTTAAAAGGCATAAAATGTTGATTCAAATCATTCATATTTTTAATTATCAAGGAGATTTCATGTTTTTGATGTGAAATTAATAACAAGTCTGATTAATAACACCCCCCTGAAGTATTACAATTTTCACTATCTGTTTGAAATATAATCCAAATATACAATAAAAATCAAAAGTGCTAAAGAGGTCAGCTAAATTTAGCTAAACAGTTTTATTCTGTAGGAAGTTTGACCACGTACCAAAGCTTCTTGGACCTGCCTGGCTCTGCGTCTAAGCTTGGCCTTGTACTGACTGACAAGGGCGCGCCCAAACTCTGCTTTCTTCCTCTGCTCTTCCAGCTCCCTTCTCTCTTCCTCTAGCTTCTCCAGCTCCCACTGCTGTTTAACCAGCCCATCCTGCTCGTCCTTCAGGCTCACAGCCTAATCGATCAAAAAGGTAACACATTGTCAGAAGTGGGAACCAGTATTGGGATGGGAGGGAGAAGAAGGCTGGGGGCGGGGGGAAAGGGGGGGGGGGAGGGGGGGGGAGGGGAGTGGTTGGATTAGGGAGGGAAATAGTAATGATAATAACAATACCAGTTTCTTTTATAGCTCTTTTCCATTAACTTTTTTTTTCATGTGGTGTCCCATGCGTTACCAATTATTATCATGATTACCGTATTTGCCGGCGATAAGGCCGCAGCGCCGTATAGGCCGCACCCCCGATTTTGACATTTAAAAAAAAAAAAAAAAAAAAAAAAAAATTGTCGAAGTCGGGATTTGATCTCTTGCGTACAAATGTTGATGTGACTAAAATCACCACCTAAGACCGCTCGGAAAAAAAAAGAAAAAAAAAAAAAAAAAACAAAAAATTGTCAAGTCGGGATTCGATCTCTTGCGTTCAAATGTTGATGTGACTAAAATCAGCGCCTTAGATCGCTCGGCCATGCCGCACTGATGCTAGCATATGGAGTTTTCTGTGATGTATGCATTGCGCCTCTCTCTTGTGTATTGAAATGGATTCAAAATAGCGACTTCGCGTGCTAGATGCTTCGCGGCAGCTCCGTTAAACGGGCCCTTCTTTTACTTTTGCAATGCATTGGCACAAACTTAGATCAAGATCTATCGGCAGATGTTGTTTTAGGAAGTTTATTTTCGTCTTCACGTCAACAATGCAAGATAAAATTGTCGGTAAGATGTGTGGAAATGTATAGTTATTGTACCATTTGTAAATCTAGTCCCATATGTGCAAATTCGTGCTGGTTTTGACTTTTTTTTTTTTTTTTTTTTTTTTTTTACTCTTTCGCCGCATAGGCCGCACCCCGACTTTTAGATATTTTCTCTTCCAAATATACTGCGGCCTTTACGCCGGCAAATATGGTATTTTATTATGAAGATAAATTGAAGGCAAAAGTATAATTTTATTTGACAGTTCCGATCTGAACTCTAGAAAGGGTCGCAATCATCAGAATTACTAAAACATTAGATGTGGTCCGTAATGTATGCAGAAATTACACCACTGCTGTGACAGATTTGACTAATTAATGCAGAGTTAACTCTATATGATATACAGGAGACATTAAACCGACCGAATCGGCTGATATATGTTGCTCTAGTTCTTACCTCCACTTCTCTCTCTTTGAGCTCCTTGACCTGGTCTATGAGTTGCGCTGCCACGGCCTTCTCCTCCTGCAGACGAGACTCCGCCCTCTGCCGATCCAGCTCCAGCCCCGCCCGCCGCTCGCTCTCCATGGCCTCCTCCGCGAGCCGCTCCTGCTCCCTGGCTGAAGCCAGCTGCTGCTCCCTCTCTTCCTTCTGCCCTTCCCATGCATTGGTCACATGGCGTTTGTGCATGTCAGACTCAAGCTGAGGTCAAAGGTCAAAAGGGTATGGTGCCGGTGGTGTGATATCATCATTGATGAAGTGAAATACAGCGTTTTAAACATTTATATACCTCATAAGAGGAGTCTATGCCTCTGATTTGTGAAAACTGCAAGCTTGAAATTTGGTGACTGGTGGGTGGTACAGCAAAGATATTAAATAGGCACAGTTTTACTAAAGTACTACTAGTGATCTACAAACTATTAGATTGTCATCTCATTTTCAATTGTTAATGGAGTCGTGTATAGTGCTCATGTCTGGCACATTGCCATTCCTGGCACTCCGTCATCATAACTCTGGCTTTAGCACGGCTGCCATTACAGCAATCAAGCACCAAATCAAAATTAAAGAAATTAAAATTCATGTCTGGTACCCATTTACTTCACCACAATTACATGTACTTGTACCTTGGTTTTCCTCCAATAAATAACAGACTTACTTTTCTGAGATCTGGGTTATTTTGCCTCCAATGGTTGTACATTTTATCATCAGCAATCTAAGAAAGGCAAAGAGAACAGATATCAATTAATAATTTGTTTGGTTCTCACTCCGTCCATCTGTCTGTATGTCTGTCTGTCTCTTTCTCTCTCTCTCTCCACTTTTTATTTTCCTCCTCTTATTATATCAATCCAATGTGTAATGATGCAGGCCCATATGAAAGAGCCATCCCAATTCACAAACACCCGAACATCATCTCAAAACATACAACAATTTAAAAAATAAAGTTACAAGTAGAGTGTAAAGAATGTATATTTCTCTCAATTTCTAATCATTTCCTAGAGAACTATCATAGCATACGGATCAAAATGCGAAGAACCAAACACTCTTAAAAAGGATCATCAGCCGTTTTCAGGGCCCTTTACTAATAGGAGAACATAAATGTTTGAAATCCCATTTCAGATTCAAGTTTTTCATGATACTACAAATCTCAATTTTGTAGACAGTTGATCTTCCAGCAGCATCTAACTTACTGGCGACTTGTCTTGTTCCGTCAAGGGGTGGGGAGGTAGGGGGGGGGGTGTTGTCTCCTTTGGATGTATTGCATTTAAGCTCTGACAACAATGAACACAGTAAAGATGAAAACTTTTCAGCTCCACAGTGAACATTCTGCACTAACTGAATTCTCAACTGCAACCCTGGACCAAACACTGTACCTAACCCTAAACATAAATACCCAACCCCCCAACTGCAGCCCTTTTGAGCCATTACCCCAATCTTCAACAAAATAAAAGCCCTGAGCGACTGTCGCATGAACACGTTTAAGCTTCCATTCACTTTCTCTCAATATTACAATCAAACCTGCTTTAGTAACCATCTGTATTGAAAGATTCCCTGTCCATAACGACCACATCTCTGGTTTCCCTTGAAAGAATTGTTATCATTGCAAGATGTGCTAAAATAAACCTGTCTGTAAAGACTACTTACCTATAAAAGACAACCTTTGGTTTCTCCCTTGGGCGTTCTTTATATACAGGTTTGACTTTGTGTACATATACCTGTACCATGTGCTACCGTACCAACCTGTTCCCTACTGGTGGTGGTTATTTTACCCGATTGCTAAGAAAGCATAAATGCTTGTAAGACGGCTGACGGCTTTAGGTCCTCTCTGAGAGACCTGGTAATGAGGATTAATGCCTTACCAAAGGGCACTAGCGCACCACTTTGGTTTCGAACCCGGGTCACCGGATTACGAGACCTCTGCTCTACCAACTGAGCTATCGCTCTCCCTGCCGGTCTTCAAATCATCACTCCTACTTTTCATCTCCTGCAGTCTGAAATATTTATCCTCCGAAAACCCCCTCAGCTCAGCTTCTTAAACCGGCTACCAATAACATACAACCTTATGTGTCTCCCAGGGCCGTAGGGTGGTCTTTATATACAGGTTTGACTGTATGTACATGTACCTACATGCTACTAACCTGTTTCCTACTGCTCTCCCTGCCGGTCTTCAAATCATCACTTCTACTTTTCATCTCCTGCAGTCTGACGTAGTTATCCCCGGACAACCCCCTCAGCTCAGCTTCTAGCTGGCTCCTCTCCTCACTGAGCATGTGCTGGAGTCGTCTCCGTCTCTCTTTCAGTTCACGAGCTCTTATCTCTTTGTCATGTTTCGACTTGAATGCATCCATGCTGTGAAGTAATAATTATAATTAAAATAATTGATGTTTTTGTATAGCACATAAAAGGTATAATTGCATGTCTCTATGTGCTTTACAGAACAGAATACTGATGGAGTGGAGATGGCGCGCTGGGTTCATAATTTTGAGATCTTACAAAGTGCTATAAAACAGACATGTTTTTAAATTACCTCTGAAGTTTTCATTATGTTTCTAAACTCTTTAGGTATTCCTGCATATGAAAATAACCTGTCCCTATACGTATAATTTAAATAATACAGAAAATTAATATGTGAGGACATTGAAGGCAAAAACTGATTTTAAAAAGATCAACATTTGGTTCAATGGTTTCATTCAAAGAAAGAATTAGATATAAACTTGATGACCGTTTCACAGTCCTAATAGGAGCCTGTATGTTTTCAAAATCATGCAATGTTGGTCACTAATCAATTACATATGAATCAACAAGTGTTTTACAGACTCTATCAAAATAGCAAGAAATGCCTGATGATTATATCAAAGGAAATGAAAATATGCCAATTTAAATGCAAAATTGAATGAAAATATTAAATAAATATACAATTTTGGACTACTACTATGCTTTATCAGTTTATATGTGATAGAAAAATATTTGAACGCAATTTGACGGTAAAATACTGTACATGTAGCTTTATGAAATATGAAGGAAAGAAAACTGACTTCATTTTTAGGTGTGTCACATTTTCATCAATTGTTTGGTAATGAATAATAAAAGAAAGTAAGAAACATATTACAATATTTTGCTTCCAGCTCATCCTTACCTATCATGAAAACTTTGATCAGATGTCCAGGCATTCTGTTTGGTCATCTGAACCTCGCTCGTCTTGAAGTACTCTGCTCGACTGGACCACTGCTCTCGGAAATCTTCTTCGTGGTTCCGTCGCTGAACCATCGCCCTCTCATGGATGTTCTTGTATCTCGATGTCCAGTAAGACGGCAGGGTAGGGAGAGCCATCTTTGTGTTGTTGCTTAATCTCGTCTCTATTTATCTTTGTATTCCTGTAAGATTAAAGATAAAGTTGAGTTCTGGTCATGTGATTGCATTGAGAAAGAAACGTGGAATCAATATGAAAAGGTTGATAAACTAGCATATTATAAGTATTTGTGTGTACTGCATGGTTCTGGAATTATCGAAATGATACAAATTTGACCCAGTCTTGGTAAAGTTACAAGCACTGTGAAAAAAAAGATGTACTACACGAACATGTGGCGTAAAAATCCGTCCTGATTTTTATGATCTCTAAATAAACTTAAGGGAGGAGCCAACCCTACCCAAATATTAAGAAGCTAACAAACCAAAAGAGACAGATATTAATACTGATGTTAGTACTGAAGATCAGAAACATCTCCGTAGTTGGCAGACACAGTTATGACTGTCTTGTCGTTGGTTTCGAGGAACGGGCCTCTGATCTGATGTAATCTCAGCTTTCGGTCTACCACCATATGCAGTGCAGTCCGATAATGCCGATGGTATACCATCGGCATCGGTCGTCTAGCTTCACAACCCGGAACTTTGGGCAGCAGTGCGTTTGAAAGACCGGCGATCCATATGAAAACACGGACGAATACGCAGCAATACTTGAAGAATTTACGTCAAACTAGAATATTTTATCACAAACAAGACCACACTAACTTATCTATAAACAAAGCATAACAAGTAAGAAAATGATAACATACTCTATAATCAAACACGGCATTATTTTACGGTTTTTACCCACGGTACTGCACTGACACTAGCTCCGAGATTGAGAGTCCCAGGAATTTGAAAGCTAAATATTTATGGCATTGGCCATTTATAACACAGTACAACGGATATCATTAGGTATAGGTAAACAAAACTCGACCCTAAGAGAACTCGGCCCTTAGAGAAATCTGCCCAATTATTCTGGAAAACAGCGATTTAATTCGAGTCGTCTGCTACGGTCAGCATTATTCAAATTAGAAATATTTTAGAGAAAGAGCAGAAGAATTAATTAAAGCCTAATTAAATTCCTTGATGTAACAACAAATATTTCAAGAGACATATATATGAATTACTAATAGCTGCCTTAAAATATGCTGCCTTAAAATATGCTGAACAGTGGGTTGAACAGAAAGTAATAATTTGCATTTTTATACAATCTATATTTTCTTTTTATAAGGCAGAGCATTTGTAACTTTTTGTTATTCTTAAGGGGTCTATAAAACACAAGCCATGCTTTTTTTGATAAACTCCTATGTTTTCACCACTGTGCCAACCTCAAATGATTTATTTGAATAATATATCTTTGCCGTATCTCTTGTTTAATATCATTATGTTATTGAATTTGTTTATATTGCATATTCATTTGATTATGTTATCTTATGTGGAAAAATAAATAAAGAATATACAGTGTGAGTCAAAAAAAAGTTTACACCTAGAAAATTACTAATTATCAGTTATGAACAGTAAATTATTATACATCTTATGAAAAAGTATTTCATCTGAAAATCGACATGCGCCAAAGTTGCTTATGTGATGTTTGGAAAAAAAAACACAATTGGGATTTGTGTATTAATCCGGTCTTTGCAGATCCAAATAGCATCCCTAAGTGCCACACATATTAAATATCGAATATCAAATACCAACAAACATTAATTTTGTGCGCACGTGTGTGTGTTTTTGTGACTTTGCTTCTGCAAAAAGAATTATGCAATGCATTTCATTTGATACATTCAATTCATTCTCTCACTCTGCTAATCCCAACATAATATATACTATATAGGCATCACTTTGGCGCAAGTCGATCATGTTTTGCATTCTCGCAAACAACGCCTCCTGTTCATCCAAGCGTGAACACACCCACACAAAAATGATACCTAATGATTTGGGATAAAACACTCTTTCGTAAGATGTATAATAATTTATTGTTCATAAACGATTTTTAAAATAATTAACAATTTTCAAGGTGTATTTTTCTTGGACTCACACGGTTACTTTGATTATGAACCACTCAGCCATGTATAACAGGTATGGGTCAATAGAAGATGTCCTGAAAATATTTTCGAAATAAAATGTGATCAAGATCAAGGATTTTATTTTTAGAACGACTGGCTTAAGAGAATGCTCAAATTTCATGACAAGATCGACTTAAAAACACTATGGTCTTGCATAATTATGATGCCTGAGAAATAAATTTATTGTTCATGCCTTTTGTGTTTTTGTTAGATTTAATTTTCCAAAGGATGGGCAATCTTTGTCTTCTCAGCCCCCATCACAATATAAAATACCAAATACTTTGTATATAATTATGTTCATATCTTTGTTGCGGTTATTAGTCATATCAATTCCTTCGCGCTCCTTTTGGGAGATCAACCTTTGGGAGATCAACCGACCCGCGCGCATTTTATATTACATGACATATTGTAAAATTCTCGACATCTTTTTACACTTTTCTTTACCATTAAAAATCGGAATTGAGTATATAATATCCTCAATCGAAATATGAGAAGAAGGAAACATTTCCTTTACATTCCATGTAAAACCATGCCCTTACTTGAAAAAAAACCTCCGTCATTTTGACGTTAAACTTTACAATCCATTTAACTTTTTTTACTTTCTCATACATAATGTCCATTGATCGGTCGCACTGTGCTCGATTGCCTTTCAATATACCAATCTTTAACTTTGCAGTAACGCGTTTTGCGTCAAATTTGTAAATCCTCAATCCCAGACAATGACATATGATACATAAGCTTTTCATACATATAAAGTTCATTTTGATTGATTCATTTTTAGCCCCGTCAATTTTCATGTCAAATCATGCTTCATGTCCCATTTTAGAAGCCCGACCCAGGGTTTTGTGCCAGCTAGCCGTGTATGCATACATGTACGTAATGCTATGCATACACATATAACTGATGCATAAGTACAGTACATGTACACACGCAGCGCAGCGCGTACGAGCGCACTGCACATTTCATTTGGTCAGTACCATTATGAAAATAGGGGAACAATGAGTGGGATGGGTTTAGTGCCGTAACAATAAACTTGCGCATTACACGCGTACGTATAATTAGAGCAATTTATGCACCCCCAAGAAATAATAAATACGGCCCGACCTCTCTACACACAGAACAGCACAGATACCGCACAGTCCGGTCAAGGCGGTACGCGTAGCGTTAAACTGCCAAATTTACAGAAATTGTGAGGAGCGCTTTTGCTATCCCAGGACCAAAATCCAGTTGAAACCAATTGGAGCAAAACCAATTGAAACCAGTTGCCAACTGGTTTCAATAGGGAAATTGGAACAACTGGTTCCAATTGAAACCAGTTGAAACCAATTGCCAACTGGTTCCAATTGAAACCAGTTGAAACCAATTGCCAACTGGTTCCAGTTGCCCAATTGGTTTCAACTGGAACCAGTTGTTCCAATTTCCCTATTGAAACCAGTTGGCTTCAATTGGTTTCAATTGGTTTCAACTGGTTTCAATTGGTTTCAACTGGTTTCAATTGGTTTCAATTGGATCCAATTGAAACTTACAGTTGGCATAAACTTAATTAGTTATAAGTTAATTAGCTCTTGCACTAATTATCGCTCATGTCAACACAGAAGCATTGTTATATGTGTCTACATTAAGTACAATGTAAAGGGCATTACATCCCAATGGTGGTGTGGACGGCTTAAGTCAAGTCAAGTCAATAAGTTCGACACTGCATCATATCCGCGCGTCGACGAACGCTGCGCTTAAAAACGACAGTCGATGACTCATTTTCATTTCCCAGTAGAAGTGGTCAATGGTAATCTTTTATTGTCAAGCAGTATTAAAAATGAAAAACTGTAGTCAATTTTATGAATCCAAATTATTAAGTAAGTTTAAGAAACCAATAGATATATCTATTCAGTTATGCGATTAATATTATTTACTCAGAAAGGGCTTTGTTAATTTTAAAACCTTAATGATAAAATAAACAAATATTTAAGTCATGCCTCTAATTACGTCACGGCCGCGGTGGTCGTTACAATATATAACATGTCCTGAAAATAATTGTTATGTTCAAAATAAAAATCCGATCATAGGTTTGATTTTGAGAGCGACTTATTCAGAGAATCGTCAAATTTCATGACAAGCCCTCACAGATAATGGCATATGATGTCTGGGAAAAAATATATGGTACATGTATTTTGTGTTGTACAATTATTCTTCATCCCTCCGGAGCACAAAATGAGGTTGCGAATTTGTTTTTTTAATCTAATAAATCGACTATCATTGTATATGCTCCACGCCCACGAGTTTTGACGACACTGAATATAATAGGTCACTGATCTGAATGACCAATGAGCCGAGTTAGTCAACATTAGAATTCTCTCATCTTCTCACACCGGGCATACAAGTGCATACATGGCATTCTTTTATTCCATGATGTAGGTACAAAATTCACGTTTCGTCATAAATAGGTCAAAAAGCAAGCACTATGGTATTGATATCAGTGTGATTTCATTTGTGTGTTGTTCTTTCATAATATAGTTGGATGAAGCAGAATATCAATACACCTGTCAACTGATAAAACACTTTGCTCCTAGCTTCCAGTTGTCATTTTCTTGTTTGTCGGATCTGGATTGAAATAGGCTCAACTTCTTCTTGGATAATGCAGATAGGCCTAGACTTCCACGACTGAAAGATAAACATTACAATCGAATATCATTTGTGTGGGAGTCAACTTGTCTTAGAATAAGAGAAAATCTTTGGGAAAAGAAAATCGACAGCAGGAAAATAACATTTCGGATATCTACACACAAGTTTAAATGCTGTATGGCCAACTTGAATTAAACCATCAGAGAAACAGAGCTGTAAGTGCTGTTCAGTCAGAAAGTTACTGGAAAAAAAAAACAGCAAAAAAAGATCAAGAACAGCTAGAAAAGTCTACACATTTCATCAACAATATTATTGATCGCCGTTCACACGTATGTAGTATATAGGCCTACTCGTATCAAGGTTATATTGATGATCTATTTCTGAACATTCCTACAAGATACTGGAAACATATAAGTAGACAATGTCTTCATCGAATAGCGATGGTAGCAGGACCATTCTGTGGTGTGTTCCTCGGTCCATCTCGACAGCACTCGCCAAGTGTCTCAGCTTCATCGATGACTCGGAGGTGTGGTTTGAACCCTATGCCTACTGCAACGCCACCAGCAATGAGTATAATCATCAAACGAAGCTCAACATACCCATGGACTATGAGGGCAATGAGGAGATCTTTCAGAGAGTCAAAAAGGCCCTAGACGGCATGGCAAATACCCACTTTGAGCCCGATCGCCTCTCGTGAGTTATATCCCATCATACTACCCATTACTATACTACTACTATTTCTACTACTATTACTAATACTACTACTACTACTACTACTACTACTACTACTACTACTACCACTACAACTACTACTACTACTAATACTTCTACTTCTACTACCACTACTACTACTACTATTCTATACTACTACATACTACTACTATACTACTACTATTACTATACTACAACTACTATTACTAATATTAATACTACTATACTGCTACTACTACTACTACTACTACTACTACTACCACTACTACTACGAGTGGCGGATCCAAGGGGGACCCGGGGGGCCCGCCCCCTCCCCTTTTGAGAAAACAAATCATGTAAAATCACGTGATTTTTACCTTTTTTGGGGGTTGGGCCCCCTGGCGCTCAAGGGGGGGGGGGGGGGGGGGTGCAAATTTTTAAATTTTCGAGGACCCAACAAAAAAATGTGCTAACTACCCCCTGCCCCCTGCCCCCTTTTTTGGGGGTTGCCCCCCCCCCCTGGCGCTCAAGGGGGGGGGGGGTGCACATTTTTAAATTTTCGAGGACCCCCCAAAAAATGTGCTACTATTCTATACTACTACTATACTACTACTATACTACTACAACTACTACTACTACTACTACTACTACTAATACTACTACTATACTACTACTACTACTATTACTAATATTAATACTACTACTACTACTACTACTACTACTACCACTACTACCACTACTACGAGTGGCGGATCCAAGGGGGACCCGGGGGCCCGCCCCCTCCCCTTTTGAGAAAAAAAATCATGTAAAATCACGTGATTTTTACCTTTTTGGGGGGTTGGGCCCCCTGGCGCTACTACTACTACTATTACTAATATTAATACTACTACTACTACTACTACTACTACTACTACCACTACTACCACTACTACGAGTGGCGGATCCAAGGGGGACCCGGGGGGCCCGCCCCCTCCCCTTTTGAGAAAAAAAATCATGTAAAATCACGTGATTTTTACCTTTTTGGGGGGTTGGGCCCCCTGGCGCTCAAGGGGGGGGGGGGGTGCAAATTTTTAAATTTTCGAGGACCCAACAAAAAATGTGCTAACTACCCCCTCCCCCCTGGCCCCCTTTTTTTTGGGGGGGGGGTTGCCCCCCCCCCCCCACTGAGCGACTTTTCGGCCGGCACGATTTTCTAATTTTCGGGTGCAAAAAAAAATAAAAAAAGTTGGGCCCCCCCCCCTAAGAAATCCTTGATCCGCGCTTGACTACTACTACTACTACTACTACTATTACTACTACTACTACTACCACTACTACTACTACCACTTCTACTACTAATGATTATGACAATGAAAGGAAAGAGATATAGAGAATATTAAAAGTCTTCTTAATTCACATGGCTGGATCAGTGTGACAAAAACTAGTTATACCAAGGGACTTTTTCGAAATGCATTTGCATTCCTGATATTCTTTTAACATAAAGCTTTATGAAAGGATATGAATACAGCAACACTTTATTTTTCCCCAACTCATACGGGAAGATAATTCGGTGATTCTCAAAGCGTAAAATGTTGTTCACGGGATCTTCAGATAGTCGAGACTCCATTGTTAACAGCTAGGATAAAAATGACGAGTTATCATGATTACCACCGAATGTTTCTTCCCGCCAAACTGACGACAGTTAATATCTACATTATTTTATAGGCAGTCAAGTTGACAGAACCTAAGGAGGGGCGGGGCCGGGCACGGGGGGGGGGGGGGGGGTTAAGAGTGCGAAAAGCTGTTATCTGCAGAGGGATGCTTAGTGATGCTCAAATAGTTTAGTGCAAAGGGAAATCCAACCTTAAAAGCAAACAACTTTGAAAGAAAGCTAACAAATCAGAGAAGTACTCTGTATCGTGAAAGTTTGAACGAAATCTGACAAAAAGATCGACTACGCTATTAATAGTCGTTGACGCAGTCTATACGTTAGCAGCAACAACAACAATTAAAATAGGGTGGCGTCTTGTGTGTAAAGCAACGGGCAAGATTATAAACAGTACGCTGTTTCCTTTTTTATTTTTGATATACAGATACGGTTCTGTAAAGCGTCGTCTTGAAGCCACTACCGCCCAACACGTGCTGGTAAAAGACATGGGCAATGCAATGACGGAAGAGTACCGTGCCTACCTGCCCAAGGGGTACAGACACACCTTTCTCATCCGACACCCTGTCCGCTCCATAGCCTCCTACCGCAAGATGATGTACAATCAGTTCTCTGAGCTAGGACTACTGGAAGGTGAGGTGCATCTTATAAGTAAAGGGAGTAAAGGGTGGGGTGTGTATGTGTGTGTGTGTGTGTGGGGGGGGGGGGTCCAATGTGTACTTCAATGCCAGGCACCACTGTAAAGCCTCGTTAAGATCTGAAGCGGTATATAAAGCGCGGTGTTACTTTTTTCTTTAAATATAAAATATGGTGTAATTGATACATTACTTGTTACTGTTAACACAGAGCCCAGGGAATATGCGTATAGAAACATTGCATCTCATGGCATACCGACATTCATTAAGTCATCCTTTTTTATTTGTAAGAATAACACAAAAGCAAATACTAATCAACAACTATGACTTCATAATATGAAGACAGAAAACAAAAAAAATCATTTCGGTGCTCCCATAACATTGGTGTGTTTCTTAAATGTAAATACGAGTTTTCTGCATGAGTTAAGGAATGCTGTCTATTAGTGGGTCAATTTTATCAGTACAAACAAAGGTAAGATTTTGTAGAATGCCGAAAAAGGGCAAGTATGCTGGTACTTTTGTCCAAAACTAGTGACCTTCTCACTCCGCTGAGCTAGATGATATATCATGGTATATTGTGGGGTATGTTGCCTTTGTCAACGCGTGACCTTCCTCAAACTATTCGCAATAATTGTTAAGCTGGTGTCAACTAGAATGCTTATGTCTATACCAATGTTGATACGTCATCATGATCACTGTAGTACCACAAATCTGATAATAAATAAAATGTGGGTCAATGTGAAAAGTCAGTTTTGAGTTCTATCAATTAGTATACAAGGCCGTGTTCTATAGAATGCGCGGATGACGTTAAATGCTTAGATGTGGGGGTGTGATAATCGACAACTGCCTCGATTTTAAGAGACATATCGAATATAATCAAATTTGATAAAGAGGAAGTTGGGAATCATCCGTAGAAATAAGCATTCCTGTATATTTTTTAACTAACTAAATTGTATTTGGGATGTATTATCCGGCACATACTCTACTGCTCAAATGTATGGTGTTGCAGACCAGAAGGCAATTATATGACACCCTAAATAGACTCCATAAAAGGGCAACGTACATTGGTATCTAACCGTACATGGGAGACACGTCCTGAAGTTGTCTTTCGTGAATATATTAACTGGTCCCAACTAAACCAAATCCTTTATAGGGCCTCCTGTCTTATGATTTAAGTGTGTAAATAAATGAGCTCCCGCCATCATGTATGAGAGACTTTCCTTTGTGGACGATGTTTCTACCAGGACCACACGTAACTCGGGCAAGTTTCTTTTGAGACCACAAAACTGTCGAACGGCTTTTTATCAAAAATCGTTTCTGTATGCCAACTATACCCGACCACATACGATTCTCAAAAACACCCAATTCATTCAAATGCCTTCTTAAGCACATGTAGAAATAACTCCGTAGCTATATATAACCCCCTTTAATCATGTTCCTTCATGTCTTGGATTTCAGCCACCTTGGAATACAACCACCAATATGTCCATTGTTCCAGCTTAATGTATTTTAAGCATATCAATAACTATGCAATGTTTTGATTAAAATGTGCTGGTAGTTACACGACCTGTCCCATTTATCTTTAATTCAACCATTAAAATATATATACTGTATATATTTTTAGTATCTTGGTTTTTAATCAACAAAAACTTGATAATTCGTGTTGAATCTTATTTTGTATGTTTTAATTATGCTCAAATCGTCCCTGATTATTAGTTGTTGTTTTTTATTCTAATATTGACTTGGATCCATTCATTTTTACCTATTACAGGTCAGTTTTAATTTTATGCAAACAGATCCCTGAAGAAGACAAGCTTGTAATTTATTTTAAATATTTGTTGGCTCAGTCAGTAGAGCGTCCGCCTCACAACCGGAAGATCGTGGGTTCGAACCTCGGCCACGTCATACCAAAAAACGTTAAAAGACAGGAGTTGCTGCTACCTTGTTTGGCGTTCAACAATAAGGGAAAGAGCAACGTCGATATGGCGCTGCTCAGTGGCTGCCGGGCTCACGATCAATTGGGCAAAAAGAATTTCCATTTTCGGTTTAACTTAATCAAATTTGGAGTGGACTTTAAAAGATTATTATTATTATTATTATTATCTTGTCACAATTTATGCAATGTTTATGTTTTAGACTATAATGTTAACTTGCATTTTATATTTCATTTGTATATTTGTATAGTTTTGTTTTAAATATTGGTGAATAAATAAATGAATAAATAATCTATTTGAGATCACGTGGAGAGCGCGTCAAAGACCGCTGACGTTGCTGACGAAGTCCTAAGACAGCAAAATGACACCTCGTGCATGTATAAAGGGCGTAATATAGTCTAATACAACGTAGTGACAATAATTTGTTTTATCACAAACAGGTAAAGCTGCAGCTGAGGAGACTTACGATGTGGAACGCGATGACCGTTTCTTCCCATCTGGCTACGGCATGACAGAAACATACGACCTCTGGAAGTACATTCAAGACGAGAATATAGATACCAACCCTGTCGTTATAGATGGTGACGATCTGTTGGCGAAACCTGCCGAGACGCTTTCGGCTTATTGTGCCGCCGTCGGGTTGCCGTACAGCAACGGCTTACTGCAGTGGGACGCGTCACCCAAGGTGCTGACAAGGATGAAAGCTAGTGGTGACAATCTCCTGATGGATTTGGTCAATTTCTATGGTACAGCGATGAAGAGTAGCTGCTTCCTCCCACCGAAGGAGATGCCACCTCGCGATCAACTACCGGCTGACGTCATCAGGTGCTCTGACAAGGTCATGACGTATTATGAGGACATGTATAAAACTCGTCTCAAAATCTAGAGCAGTTTTGAGCGAATATAAATATGTCAATCATCGTACAAATATGCCTTAGAATATTGATTTACGGTTTATGCAAAACCTTTTGAGGGAGAAAGTCCCCACTTCGACAACACATAGCTTGGAGCAAAGTTCTCTGGAACAATGTCAGATTACACGCCCGTTACTAGGATTTTTTGGCGGGAGGGGGGTTGATTTCGAACTCAATAATTTTGAATCGAACTTCATCTCTGAAAAGTGTCCTTTTTGCTTAGTGCCCTTAAGGTAGGCCTGTACACCTTCATGTATGTCTCAAAAAAGTATTTTTATCATATTTTTTTAGGTTACCCTTTGTAAGTGCCTTTTGTTTTTGTTTACTCCCCCCCCCCCCCCCCCCCCCCCCCAACCAACGTTGAAAGACGCTCCTGGTGTGATATGTAATGACGTTGGACGTCCGGAATTGCGTCAAATTCCAGTAATCAAATATTACAAATCCGGGGTGTCTGATCGATCTTCTCGATTCCAAAAAATGCTCAGGGGGTGGATGACGACATTGTAGGCTGAATGTATGAGTTTAAGTTAAGTACGATCTATCAAATACGATTTTCCGATGACTGCAGATTATATTTTCTTCCTGAAAACGCAATTCCATACGTCAAACTATATTATGATTACTAACCAAAAAACAATATACATATTTAGTATATATATTTGTACGAGCCAATGTCACTGTAAATGAAACTCTTGAATTCACTTCAAATGATCTTTGTGATGAAGTTAATGCAAATGAGATTGGAATATACCTAATTGGTGGACAGTTGCCAATATCGATTATGAAGTATCAATAATTTATCACTGGTTCTTCTAACTGGATCGATTTACCAATTGAATCCCCATTGAATGCCCCCATTGAATCCCAATTCAATACCAATTGGCAATTTGGAGTAAATGGAAAGTGAAACAATGGGTACCCATTGAAACCAATTGGTGATTGGTCCCCATTGGAACCAATTGGCAATTGGTCCCCAATTTGGAGTAAATGGAAAGTGAAACAATGGGTACCCATTGAAACCAATTGGCAATTGGTCCCCATTGGAACCAATTGGCAATTGGTCCCCATTGGTTTCAATGGGTACCCATTGTTTCACTTTCCATTTACTTCAAATTGGATTCAATGGGGACATTCAATGGGGATTCAATTGGATTTTCGTCTTGGGCCTTGTTTTTGCAGTGTGATAACAACGTATACCGCATAGAAAAATAATAAATAACTTTCATGTTCCCTGGGTTGATTAGGAGATACGAAAAAATGCTTCAGAAACGTAAACGAATGTATAATTTGGCTATCAATTCGAAAGAAACATCCTATACTGGAATATGTTTCGACAATAAAATATTGAGACGGGACTTTAAAAGAATGTTGGAGAAAAAAAATAATTATTTGCAAAGTTTGTGAGGACATAAAGAGGGAGCCAAACCAAAGAAGAAATGCCAAAACCCGCGATCACTTCCAATACTCTTATTGATGACAAACAAAACGCAGATGCCGTTTTGAATAAACAATTTGGCCTGAATGGGAGGTTTGTTGGCAAACCTCCTTTTGTTTCGCCAAACCTCCTTTTGTTTTTTTACAAACCAGGATTGTAAAAAACGCGTAAAAACGCGTAATAATATGACGTACGAAAACCAAGGTTTGTCGACATACCTTCTTTGTGAATTCGGGCCTTTGAGTCTGTTTTTTTAATATGGCACAAACAAGTGCATTTACAAACGTGTATATACAAACAAACAATGTAGGCCTATACCTGTCATAAATGACATCCATTGTGTATAGTGTAAGAGATGCTCCTTATATACTGAGGCTATACTATTCTTTTTACTGTAAATGTATGTATTTTGTTATAGGGCCCCGCTCACAAGCTTAGCTTCTAAAGGGGTCCTAAAACCATTCAGTTTATGATGTAATCAAGTTAGAATATGTTGATTGATGTACTATTACCAGTCTCTTTTTTATGTAACAGATTATATCATGCTTTGTATGGTTTTGAATAAAAATGAACTGAACTGAACTGAACATCAAACATCACAAAGTTCCTGCTAATTTACATAATTATGACCCATTTCAGTGGCGTAGCGTGGGTCAGTCATGGGGGGGGGGGGGGGAGGACCAGCCATTATTCTACCTGATCAGCGATTTCCGACTTTTTTTTTTTTAGTCACGGCACCCTTTTAGGAGTTGAAAAGTTTCGCGTTACCCCAATCCAAAATTAATAAAAATGATTTGGTTTTAACTGGCCTCGTTTACATATACACGTAAAGGCACCGTTCGCAATTCGCAAATCCGGTTCGCAAATTCATTGGTGTACTGAGATCACTTAATGAAATAAAGATGGGTGATATGAGGGGAGCAGATACAAGAGTAGGCTATGTAGAGAGAGAGAGAGAGAGGGTAAAAAAGATATAAAGATAAAGAAAAAAATAATAAAGAATGAAGAAGAAAGGAAAGAGAAAGAAGGTGATCGAGGATGTGAGTTCAATTTACCCTTCGACTCTGCTTGGTGCTCTACCGATAGCAATGTGGACGAGTCTTCTTGACCGTGTTGATAAGGGGACGATATTGAGAGACCATGGCAGCGTTTCATGAAACCGTACCGTCATAAGTACAAGTCCAACGACATCCCATTGAAATGCGTGTATTAAGTTTAGCACACCTTTCAATGGGATGTCGGTGAACTTGGACTTATGACGGTCTCATGAAACGCTGCCCATATCCATGCACACTGCATTGCATTGCACACGAAACACACCACAGCTTTGCTGCCCGATGCTTACAAAGCACATTAGTAAGTCCACTTTTAAAGCATATTACATTTATGGATTGGAATTATGAAAGATTAATAATTGTTTCTTTGTTATGATATTGTACGGATTTTTGTCCATGGATATACGTGTCTTATTCAGTGTACATCATTTTGTCTTCTTTTATAAACGACTTCCGGGCTTCATTGCCAAATTTACGTAGAAGAGTATGAAAGTGAGCGGTGCTTGCGTTTGGAATGACGGGACTGTAGCCCGTCGGAGAAATGTGACATTCCGTAGCATACATCCTATATGTTAACTTTTAAACCGGCTGCTTGGATGTAAGCAACTGGCTCTTCTGACCGCCTCTATACTGTCGACAAAGGTCAGTTTTATTAAAAAATGGCCCATACGGTTACCAGACGGTTATTTCTGTCTAGTTAGCTGCGTTATTAGACTAGACACTAGTATTATTAGACCGAATTTTCTGTCTCTTTCGAACGTTAGCCTCTGATTTGGGTAGGGTCGGCTCCCGGTGGGGTCACTCGATGTGACTTATGGACCGCATGACCGTTACCAAAATCGCGGGAAAAGGGGTCAATTTCAAGCAATATCCGCGGACAAAATATTCCTTGAAATATAGAAAATAGGGGTGCACAGGTGTCCTCGAAATTGATAAATTGGGGTCAGGAAAAGGGAAAAGAGAAAACCGTGAAGAAAAATTCTCGGAGCCGAGTCTTGTCCTTGAAATATGGTAAAATAGGGGTAAACTTGCGAAAGTGTCCTTACAATCTTATAAATAGAGGTATTCCAAAGTACGATTTTGTCTTTGTTTTGACGTAAAAAAGGGGGTTAAATTTTACAAAATGTCCTTGAAATTGACCGCAAAAGGGGGTTATTTGCATTTGTGATAACGGTCATACGTGTCACCGTCTGCGGGGAGTGACCCGACCCTACCCAAATGAGAGGCCGACCCTACCCAAATCAGAGGCTAACGAACGAAAGAGACAACTCACAGATGTTAGAAAGAATAATTATTAATATAAAATCGGAGTCTAGACTACTCTACTGTCAAACTTGCTTACAGCCACATCGGCATTATTGTGTGCATTTGTGTGTATTTGTGTATTGACTATTTTTGTGTGCAATTGCTGCCCATTAGCAAGTAGTGCAGCGCTACTGCGCTAGAGGTCGATACGCATTAGCATTGACTGCATGTATCTATGCTTTGCTGGAGTGCTGTAATAGTAACAGTTGAACAGAACAAACTTTTTACCTACCCCGTTTACTTGGAAATACCCTCTGGCATGGTATTTGTTGGTTATTTAGATAAACAGTCTAGGCTCTGCCTCGGATCTGGTTTTAAATAGCATTGCTTTGCTAGGGCTGGGGTAGACAAAAATAACCAGAATTTGGCAGAAAGTCAGTAGTATGTCTTTGATCAAAGTATTAGTAATAGTAGACAGAAATAACTGTCTGGTATGGGTCATTCTTTAATAAAACTGACATTTGTCAACATTCCCCAACGCATGATCAGAGGGGCCAGATGTAATCTCAGCGGAACAACCGTCGATATCAGGAATGAAGCTTTCGGTCTATACTAATAGTAGTACTGAATAATAATAACACTCACAGTTTAGCTCTTCAAAAGTCCTTAATTATCCTATTTCCTGTCATGATTTTGACAAATGATATTGGTGTGAATATCCGTTTCAGTAGTAGGCTAAGTAATTAATGATGAAGTGGACAAAGAGCTTTTCATGACATTAATAATAATAATAATAATAATAATAATAATGGGTTCTTGGATAGCGCTCATGTCGGTCAGATTTGACCCTCCTGGCACTCCCGATTATTACCCTGGCTTTAGCATGGCTGCCATACGGCGCTCTAGCAAAGCTACAGGGGTTTTCAAAAAGCAGCAAAATGTTCATGTCCGTCACCCTTAATCTGCCATGTCTGTACAGAAAATACCATAATTGTTTTTTAACATATCTATGTCTAGAGTATGATTACAGTCTTCTGTAAATAACACCTAAACTAGATTCATCAAACCCCCTAAATCACAGACTTTTTAAATTGCTAAGAGTTAAGTATAACAAAAATTTGTAAATTTTCAGATTTTGTATCATGGCAGTTATGGTTACAAAGAGTCCTTTTCTATTCATGTATTCAGTGGAATACTGTGAAACTTACTACATTTATGTATGTGACTGATATGCAGTATATTTGTTTCAATCATGGATTGGAATATGTTTTTAGGAATTTGGACTCTTAATTTTGTTTAAAACTGTCTGAAATTATAAGCAAAAAGTGTTTTGAATGTCATGTCTGTTATGCTGGAATTGCCTATAATGCTCATTTCTAGCTTTCTTGTTTCTTTTCCTTAAAACGTTCTATTATCTTGTCCCATGGCTTCCTTCTTTAAAAAGAATCCTTGTTTGAATTTTGCTCTTTTCTAGCTTCCCCACAAGTCGAAAGTTCGAGCAGTTTCACTAACCTCGAAGATGTCATTCTATAGTAACCTAGAAGCAAGATACAAAACTGTACCACAGGATGGTAGGATAGAGACTCTAACATTCCTCGAGGCTAGCAGAGTATCCATACTTCCACTGCTTGGTAAATATCTTCATTTCTATCTTGTCTCATGTGTAGGTAATGCTCATTCAGTATTAAAGATAAACTTGAGTTCTGGTAAAAATAGAAAATGAATTCTCACAGAATCTAACGAAACTTACACTGAATGTTCAAGATTACAAATAAATGTCATGTGCCGAACAATTTTGGAAGAAAATGTATACTGGCTGAGTAATTAGCATAGAAAGATAAGGAAATCAGGGTAGTACTAGCCCCGACACCATGTGTGTTGTCCCATATACATCTTTCTGTGTAAGTGATTGTTACTTTACCAAGACTCTGCCAAATTTATGATGATTTTGATGAATCCAGAACCTTGCATTACACACCATTACTTACACGCTATATGATCAACTTTTCTGATCCATTCCACACCTTTTCTTTCACAATGCAATCGCATTACCAGAACTCAAGTTTATCTTTAAGGGCCAGATTCGTCTTATTTGCTCCGAATTTGTATCAATGTCTGTTTAGAGCCAGAAGGGCATTACCTCATATACTTCAATTCCAACCTCATTTTTCTTTTTTCCGCAAAGCATGTATTCTGAAGAAAAAAAATGCTTGTGTGGCAAAACAGCAACTACAGGTATGCAGAAAAGTGAAAAAAGCAACCGAAATGTTAAATGGCCTGATAACATAATAGTGCCATGGGATGGAATAAAAGGGGTAATATAAAAAGTGAGGAAGGTGAGCCTCTACTCAAAGAAAGATGCTCTTTGTGAAATCTCCTTTTCATTTTGAAGATCTGTGTATTTACATGTATTTCTATTTCTGACACACATCATACATGAAATTGTTGTTCTGCAAATGATCACTGAAATAGGTAATTCTGAAAAATACAAATTACAATGATCTCATACATGCATTGCATGAATGTTTTCATAAAGCCCCTTTCTGGAGCCAGAAGGTTAAATGCAGGTTTATACCCTCCTTGCTCGCAATAGACAAAATAGGAGTTTCACTCTGTTCTCAACATTGCTATAACACAAAAAGTGTAAATTTGACTTTCAGATATCCTGGGGAAGAATGCCTTTGCCATGGTCAGAATGGATGTGAATGGCAACATTGTGGTAAGTTTGTACGTGATGAAAATGTGATAGGAAAGAATTGAAACCCATAATAAAGCCCCAGTACATATTATTGCTTCTGAAAAGCAAAAGCAAAAGAAAAGGAGAAGAAAAAGAAATAACCCCTTCCTCCCCCACCCCCCGAAAAGTGGAATAATTCTTTATCTAAATAATGATATATGAGAAGCCTCCTCTGTAGAAACTTTCTAGAAACATCTTTAACATCTTACCCTTATCCTTAGTTTTGAGGCAATCTTATCAGCAGAAGCAGCATTAGTTGGAGTAGTAGAAGTGGTAGTAATTATATGTGTAGCTGTGAAATTGTTGTTGTCCTGTGAAAAATATAGCTTTGCTAGAAAAAAAAGGTTCTACTTTTTCATTCATAATCATTCATAAAGCATTTGTATAATTTGTGTAAAGCATTATTCTGTATAAAGTTTTTCAAGTCAAAGGTTAAGTTAGGGAACAGTAGCGTCAAAACAGCATTGTAAAATTCCTATTTTTTTGTAGAAACCGGAATTATGCTGTTTCTATTTTGGTTGGTTCATTTTAAAAGAATGTATTATTGATTGTCTTAAGAATAACAAACACCACGTTTATTAGACAAAGCTAATTCATTCAGACATTTCATAAATTCTGGTCACCTTTTGTTTGAAAAGATGAATTAATTCAAATGTTTGTCAAGAACGTTTAGGAGACAAAACTGATTCATTCAGACATTTCATAAATTCTGGTTACCTATTGGTTGAAAAAATGAAATAATTGGAACGTATTTCAAGAAGGAGCAGCATCATTTGAATTTATCATATGCCTAGAGCCGAAATCATATCGTTGAAAAACAAGACAAACACAATCCAGTTTTCCTTTTCTGTCTTTTTATTTGCAGAAACTGATGAATAAATACAATGAAAGGCCTGATGATTTCCATACACTGACTGCCATTGTTGATGAAGAGCTTGAACAATGTACAACAAATGATAACAACTCTGCCACTGATGCCCTCATTTGGTTAACAAGGTGAGGTAATCATTATCATCATGATCAGCAGTAGGTAGTAGTAGTAGTAGTAGTAGTAGTAGTAGTAGTAGTAGTAGTAGGAGTAGTAGCAGTAGCAGTATTGGTAGTGGTCATGGTAGTGGTAGTGGTAGTTGTAGTGGTAGTAGTAGTGGTAGTTGTAGTGGTAGTGGTAGTGGTAGTGGTAGTGGTAGTTGTAGTTGTAGTGGTGGTAGTAGTGGTAGTGGTCGTGGTAGTTGTAGTCGTGGTAGTGGTAGTAGTAGTAGTAGTAGCGGTAGCAGTAGTGGTAGTGGTAGTGGTAGTTGTAGTGGTAGTAGTAGTGGTAGTTGTAGTGTTAGTGGTAGTGGTAGTGGTAGTGGTAGTTGTAGTTGTAGTGGTGGTAGTAGTGGTAGTGGTCGTGGTAGTTGTAGTGGTAGTTGTAGTGGTAGTAGTGGTCGTGGTAGTGGTAGTAGTAGTAGTAGTAGCGGTAGCAGTAGTGGTAGTGGTAGTGGTAGTTGTAGTGGTAGTAGTAGTGGTAGTTGTAGTGTTAGTGGTAGTGGTAGTGGTAGTGGTAGTTGTAGTTGTAGTGGTGGTAGTAGTGGTAGTGGTCGTGGTAGTTGTAGTGGTAGTTGTAGTGGTAGTAGTGGTCGTGGTAGTGGTAGTAGTAGTAGTAGTAGCGGTAGCAGTAGTGGTAGTGGTAGTGGTCGTGGTAGTGGTAGTAGTAGTAGTAGTAAATATAGTAGTAGTTGTGAATTTTTTTATATGACTTACGATCTCTCTCTTTCACTCTCTCCTTTAACCTCTATAGGCTAATAGAAACATGGTAAAGGGCGCTTTTTAAGTTGTGCATAATAGTATTACAGGGCTCCAGGCCCGGCAAACTTTTCTGGAAGGGGGCCCAGATTGTATATCTTGAGTTATTATCCATATAACCATATGTTAAAAATTTGAACTTATAGGGGTCCGATCCCAATGAAGATTTTGGAAGCCCTTTGATTAAAAAATAATAATCTGAAAACCATCTCAATTGGGATAACTTAAAGATTATTGTATTTTCTTCAGGTACAGGCTATTAGAGGCAAGTTTCTGGTGATCTGTTTCGTGGATTGCAATGATGAAACATTAGGTTGACCTTGTTGCAAGATCTAAAATGTCACAAAATTGTAGGCGTTTTAAAATCTGTGATATAAAACATCAAGTTATTAAGAAAAGATAGACTTATGTTCATATTGAAAGGGGCGGGGGGAAGGTTTTCACTCAACTGTAAAATTAAACATATATGTTAGCATGAAACATTCTGAGATCTATGGAAAATCATCCCTATTTTCACGAAGTGACGGTAGTGAGGAAAATCGTCACGCAAAGTGAATGCAATTTTTTTTCACTACCGTCACTTCGTGAAAACAGCGACGAAATTAGTGCTACAATAATCATTAGAAGTTACAAGATCCAGAAATGAATTCTCCATTGGAATACACAAAATATATGATATACATGTAAAGCCTTCAATTGATCAAGGGATCTGTAACGTTATGTTATGAACCGGTATCATTTTTTTAAATCTCTCAATTTATCCAGGGGCCTCAACTTCATCTGCATCTTTATCCAGAATATCTTAGATGGGAAGAATGAAGGTGACGATATAAAACCATGTATTTCAGGAGCATATGACATCACCCTCAAGCAGCATCACCACTGGCTCGTAAAGAAAGCTGTGCAGGTAAACTTGATGCCCCTTCTCTGCCACTTCCTGAATGGAGTCCATCAGAAATTTTAATCTTTAAACAGTCGAATCTTGAGTTGCATTTTGTAGGAGAACTAGGCATAAGAACAGAGCTGCCAAGCATTACGTTTTTCCCAAAATTATTCTGTTTTTTCCTCCAGATTTCGGTTGTATCGTACGTTTTTTCATCATAAAATAGGTTTTGTTTATTGTTTATTTTTGTATTTTTTTTAAATTTTTTTTTTACGTCAAACAACTGCCCTAAAATGTTGATTTGATCACAAATTCAATGGAAAACTGAGGTTAAAACATTTTTGAAAACATACATGAAGAGATAAATGTTCTCAAAAAGAATGAAACACTGATAATACCAAAATAACAAAAAAAATACCTTAAATAAACTATAGGTCCTAATATGGAAAAATCAGCATGAGGAATGGACATTTCTGCATTGGAAGTGGGTAGCATGTGGTTGTAAGTTTTAATGAATTCCTTTTTTTTTGCTTTAAATTCCTTTTTTGATCGCACAAGGTTGGTAGCTGTGTAAGAAGCTTGTTCCTATTTGTCTACAAATGGAGAAAGAAAGTTATGTGTAGCATATGTGTAGTTCCAAGGTATTGAATTTTGAGAACCCTCGTAAAAAAAGAAAGAAGAAGAGGAGTTCTGCAATCCTACAGTAATTGAATAGGGGTTGATCCAAGATTTTGAAAAAGATGGGGCCCAATATTCTAAAACTTTGCTGACAAGCCCGGGCCTGTTGTGCCCCCCCCCCTTCCACCAATTGATGACTTTTCTTCCCTTATTATTTCCAGGTTGCATACAGAGCAGCACCCTACCACAGTGATCTAATGAGAATCCTTCAAGGAGATGAAGAGAGTAAGGAAGTATTCATGTCCCAGGTCAGAGATTATCACATGCTGTTAAAAGATCATGTCGCAGCTATTCAAGAAATCTACTCTGCCAGAAGTCTTAACCCTCGACCTTAAACATCGCATTTGCAATATTTTGTATTGAATCGTAAGTTTTAACTCTTTATTTGCCATGTTATCTTTCCGCCCTTGGATTCCAACAGATGTTTTCCACTTCTTTGATGGTTTACTGCATTATGATGTTACTCAAAATTGAACCTACTTGGGTTCGTTAAGGTCAGCAATGTTACCCTAGATGTTGCCATAGCCTATAGAGAGAAATAGTTGTGACACATGCAAATACATGCTTGCAAGATGGGTCATAGGTCAAGCCATGTTACTCCAAGTGGTTCCCTCCCATGTACGATCTCTATGAGAGGAAACTATTTTGGAGCTTCTTGAAATGCCTGACCAATCGGAAGCATTTTCCGGTGGCGTAACTATCTCTTTCTAGTAGCTATGGGTGTTACATTCCCAGTTCAGCCGGTTACCCCTGTTACTAATTGTTGCCTGTTGTTTGTGCTGATCGAGAAGTGTGGCAAATAAAAGGTTTAAGAGCATTTTGTAACAATTATCTGTGAGGCATTTGTTTTATTGCAATCTTTGGGTAACATGGATACTTTCTATTTTTTTTTTACCTAATTTACATCATCTCATATAGGTGCTTAGGTATATTTTTGTATGATCTTATAAATTTGTAATGTTTGTGTTAATATATATCTGATTTCTTGGAAATGTACGGGTACACAGAAATATTTTGATGTATTCTCTTAATTTTTAGTTGGTGAATAGATGCGGGCTTTCTAAGAAGCTCAGAAGGGAACATTACATGTGCAGACACTGTGTTTGTGTTGGTTTTGATGATTAACGATTCAAACACAAATTCTTTTTTGTTTTCAATTGTTAAAATTTAGGGATATTGCAATAGAAAATTCAAAACAAATGTAGTGAAATCCCGATGTAAGAAGGAAATGTGTGCATGCCGATCTCACCACGCCATCGTAGAAAATGAAGATACTAGATTTATACTATGCATGATGGTAAACGTGTATATGGAAGTAAAAGTATGTATGTTGTTTACAGAGGGTCACACTCACTGAGCCCACTCAATGAGTTTGGAGTTGGGAGTCGTGTTTGAAGGCGGGTGGTATAATTAATGTTTTTTTAAATACCAGTTTTGAAACTGATATATGATAGATATTGGTGATAGTGCATCAACGGAATGTAGATAGAGGCATATCATCTCAGAGACCTAGTCACATTTGTCTTGTTTTAAATATGACATTAATCCATCCTATATATTGCAGATAATTTCAGCTCAGTTATCCCACACCTTTGTGGTTTCTATTCCTAAAAGAAGGATCATAAAATTAGATTCCTTTGTGATTATCCACTATTTAAAAACAAAATAAAACAAAGAAAACTAGAAAGGGGAATAGGATTTTTAAGGAAACCTGATAGAAAGTGGAAATATTTGAAGTATCCATAGAACTTGACAACTCAAATGTAAAGTTAGTAATGTATTATGATATTGGATAATTTGATAGCGCACATATCCACTGTGCAAGGTGCTCAAGTCACTCCAATACTAACGTGGCTCTGCTAGGCTACCGATTTTTATGTTTACAGCATTCAAGGATACATATATATATATATGGATAATTATTTACAAAGTGCATGTGCCCCTCAATTTCTTTCAAAGACCCACCCCGACCAATTGACATTTTAGGCTACCATTTTAACTTCAATAATCTGATTGATTCCAATTGTCAATTTTGGTGATAAATATTTCAGATTCAGATGTAAGGAGTAGTGATGTCTACTGTATTGTCTACAATTACTATTCATCTATATTACCATGCCTCATAATATTTCCCGTCAGCTTCCCCCTCCCCTCCCCCGCCCCCTCCATCACGCCCATCGGCTTGGGCCTGATCCACAGTCTCCACTTATCCGTTATCCGTTTAATTGCACTTCAATAGCTATCAAAATGGATGATGGATGATCGATTGATAGAAGAGCTTTGAGATGGTTCAATCATCCTTTGGTTCGTTTTCTTTTGTACAGACAGACAGCCTTCCTCCCAAGAAAGCTTATCAATGATTGTTCCCAGGTATTTGTACTCATTGTACCTGCTCAATGATGTCTCCATGAATACGGAGTGGCGCATGTATTGTATTGCCCTTCCGGATATCAATGATAAGTTCTTTGGTTTACTGGTATTCAATGATAGGTAATGGTTGTCACACCAAAGGGCAAATTCTTCAACCTGGAAGATGTATTCATGAGGGTCACTGAACAGGTAGCCTGTTATCACAGTATTATCAGCATATTTAAACTGCAAGAGGTGTTCGTGCTTGTGCAATTACTTGTGTACAGTGAGAAAAGAACAGGAGATAAGAGGCAACCTTCGGGAGCACCTATATTGGTCATCATTTTATTTGATTGATTAATGTCTTGCCAAAGGACATTAGTGCCGGGCCGGGACTTGAACCGAGAATCAAATGATCCACAGTCCGAGGACCTATCGACTAGACCATGATACCTTTACAGTATGACAGGTTTGATAGTGCAATCCAACAATTTAACAGCGCAGCCATGTTTATTCAGTGAGAAAGTATTTATCACCATTTGTGTTGAAAAAACAACAAGGTATTAAGCAAGATAATTGTGTATATTTGGGCTCAGTGGTCGGTTTGTGTTGGGTTTTTCATTTTTAGAAGTAGAGTACAAGAAAAGATTTTCATATTTAGTAATTGTATTTCATGTAATATCATTTTTTATGAACTATTTATTATGTCAATAATTGTGGTATTCCTGTCATTGGAAACTGAAAGTATGTAGTATTAAGAAGGTGTTCATGTTTTGAGATAGAAATATGCTAACAACAACTCATTTTGTTTAATTGAATATCTTTCAGTTTCTTGATTATTTATGTATAAACAAATGGTATTGATAGCTACCGAATCATGAAGTGATTATTGTATTCAATCCAGTATGTCTTCCATTTCAATTCAATTCAATTCAAGGCTTATCAAAATATATCTGTGTAGCCGTTGATGGCTGATTTGCGATATAGTTCACAGATGAAAACTTGCAAAATTACAAAATAAACCTGTCAATTACAATGAACAAAGATTGGCATAAATTTAAAGACAAAATAGAAATTAAGCGTAAAGAATTACGTTTGAAATTCTAGTTAAAATAATTTGATATAGATTCATAGCAATATATGTTGAGAGTACATTAATCAGTTGGCTTTAAAATATATTAACGGAAAACCAAAGAGTTCAAATGTGAGTTTTAGAAAAAATGGGTTGTTCAAATTACATCGGGAGTTTAGTGATTATTCAAAATCATCTAAAGACAAGATGAGAAATTGCAAAAGATTATATTTCAAATTAAAAACTCAAATTTGGAGTGATAAAAGATAAGTTTGTTCATTAGAAGTACATCATCAATTTAAAAAATTTACATGATAATACGTTAAATGTATTGCACAAAGTTTTTAGAAAAGTACACATTCTATTATGTGTGAATATGTGTGAATTAGTAGGGAAGAGAACATATCATTCCACATACTGATAACCAGATTAGGAACAGATACTTATGAAAACCAGATAAGATAGAAGTAAAAACCATTCAAATTTAACTTGATAATACGATGTATGTTTTTTTAAAAACTCAATTCGTACAGGCACAATAATAGTATGTCTTATTTTTCTTCATTTTTTCTTCTATTCTTTCTTATTATTGGACATGACGATTGATATGGTAAATATTTTCCTGTGGCATCAAGGTTATCTAAGACAAAATCAATAATTGTTACTGCCATGTTATTATTGAATTGGTTGTATTTGGTCGGTTACATTGTAACTGGAAAAGTCGTGATGTATAAAAAAAACATCAAGTTGTTGTTACAACCTACTTGAAAGTCATGTATGCCTTTAAGTGCTTTAAAATACCAAATATGGTAAATATATATACACATGTATATGTTTATTGGTTTGAGTATAATTATAATGTCATTCCGTCACCTTTAAACTATTGCTTGTATATTTGATGTCATCAGTCTCACTGTTAATCCCACAAGAAATGGATTTCCCTGTGTCTTTGCTCAGGTAATACTGAATACTGATATACATAACATGCATGCAATTTCAATAATTTGTTCACAAATATTAACAAAATTGGATTACTTTTTTTCAAATCATATATTCATAATTAATCCTTTAAAATATACTTTTTATCCAAAAACAAACAAAAAAAAACAATATTTTTCATGAATTCAGAGACAGTTTTTTTCTCCAGTAGTGCCTGCATGAAATTTTTTCTTCTTTTCATGTCAAGAAAAATTCATAACTTTCTCAGTTATTGTTCCAATATCCTCCAACTTTTGGGGGGTTGACATTTAATGTCTGATATTTCCGCTTTTCTAGAAAGCAGTTTATTCGTGGACCAGACATATGAAAAGTATGTTATTGATAGATGACTTGCTTTACTGTGAATACATGTATAGAATTGGTTATTATGTGTCAGACAATGTTATTGACAATTAATGTATTCAAATCATGTTATTTCTTGATTCTGTATAAAAATGTATAAAGTGCAATTATAAAGTGCAAGGATACTTTGAATTATAGATAAACTCTTACTTGTATAAATCCAATCTTAATATACAACTATTCTAAAAGAAAGCAGAACAATTAGAAAATCATACTGGTGATAATTTGTGCTAAAATCAGATAAAAATAAGAAAGAAATGGATTTCTGAAAGTTGTAATCATTCCTTGTATAGGATCTTCATATTTGCAGAATTGGTAATGTTACTCTGAAGGTGTGCCAGATAACTTTAAAGAGAAGGTTGAGTTCTGGGAAGAGGTGAAAAATAATTTGTGAGCATTACTCATTCTTGTTATGCAAGTGTGGAAGAACATCAGTTAAGACATGTTTCCTGAAAAGCATGGCTCTTCAAATGCCTTCATATTCTAAATATGCATGTAACATCGTAAAAATCGGGGGGGGGGGGGGGGGCGGCTTTTTACGCCACGTGTTTGTGTAGTCCCATATACATCTTTCTGTGCAAGTGTTTGTAACTTTACCAAGACTTGGCCACATTTCTTATCATTTTGATGATTCCAGAACCTTGCAATACACACAAATTCTTATATGCTAGATGATCAACCTTTTCTGGTCGGTTCCACACCGTTTCTTTCATAATGCAATCGCATGACCAGAACTCAACTTCATCTTTAACCACAAAAATAACTAAATGGCATTTCGCGAAATGTAAGGCTCTGGAGGGTTTTTTCTTTTTAGGGGATTTATAATAATATGCTATTCATAATATATTTTGAATAGTGCCACAAGGGAGAAGGCACATATGAGGAAAAAAAAACACTAAAATTAATGATACTTTTTCAACAGCTAGGAGAGTTGTCTGTGACTACTTAAAATCCACGGATCAAATTCCCGTTATGAGATTGGCATAGATTTAGTCATCTCATAAAACATTAATTAATCGTTTACAACTCTTATTATTGGTCCGATTTATTTAAGTTTCGCCATTTTGTTTCTCATATTTTTCTGCTTTCATAATTACTGAACTTATTACAAAGGTTAGATTGCACCTTTAATAGTAGACTAGCCTTTTTAGGAATTTTGTTGAACATATAATATGGAATTAATTTATATTGTGGCAGCTGTTTTGATATGTTTATGCAATGTATTACCATTACATAGGAGTTTATGTTCCAATTTAAACTCGGCTGCATGGCACAAGTGTAGAATATTCTATAATGTTATGATTCTGCACAATACTTTTAAAAGACCCATTGTAATAGACACTTACTGTATATTTGATAGTATACTCTCAATTCGGCTCAGAACTTGTATCATTATTTTGCTCTCGGTCTTTCTTCACATAAGTACAAACAGTATTTATTAATTACAACAACTCATTCAATCATTTGTGCAATTGCAATTCAATATATCATGTATTACAATTTTTTTATTACAAATATATGCAGGGGACATTTCTTGGTTCACCTGTATATTTTTGATAGCTTGCAATCTTGATATAAAATGGTTTTAATTCTCACTGTTCCTTCACGATTTGAGAAGTTAAGTGTAATAAAGTTATTCTCCTATCACAACTCAAAACGACTTGAAATTTGTCTAGTAGTGTACAGTCTGTTACTCTATTCATATGTCACTCTGTTTTCGGAAGGGCCTTAAAGCTTATCTGCCGTAGTTTACAGGAGGGATTAGACTGCCCTGCAAGGTCACTGGACAGGTGGTTATCTCATCAACTCGGCTCTCAGTTAACATAAGAAAAAGAGGATCATGGGGGACCAATGGTCACCGATTAGGCATTGTTTGTTATGTAGAGGGCGTAAGTAGCTACAAGTAGTGCAATGGGCCTTTAATTCTTGTGTTTAAGTACAAGTTGACGCACTTCGGGCTCTAAACAGACCTTGTAATCTAGATGCCCCCGTCACACCTTTGCGTATTTGGCTTGTGCATTGCTGCGTATCTATGGCAAGCCATTTTAACAGTTATTCCTATTTCTTGATATCAAGAATTGACTTATTGATATCAAGAAATGATTTTCTGTTGTAAAGCAATGGTAATTCTTGATATCAAGAAATAGGAATGAATGTTAAAACAGCTTGCCATAAATACGCATTACGCAACAATACGCGAGCCAAATACGCAAAGATGTGACTGAGGCATTACATACTTTTACAATTGTATTCCATTTCAACCATTTGGCAGCGACAATATTTTCTCTAAACCTTTATTCGAAGTTGAAACTTACACTAGGATACCGAATTTTACGATGCCCCAATATGTGTGTGCACAAATATACTCGACAAAGATTATGTATATACATGTATATATAATATCTTTATTATTTTTGTATATACATATTATATTGACTTTCACAAATGACACACAAACAAAAAGAAAAGATGAATAACAATTTAATCATATTTAATACTTGGCTAAAGCAATACATGTATTCTTGTAACATGTGGATCATGTCTTGTCGATCATGACATTATGTCGTACGGGGAAAATTTGATGTATAAGAAAAGGAATTAATGAAATATCGCAACCTTCATCAGTGGCGGATCCAGGGGAGGGGGGGCCCCCCCCCCTTGAGAAAAAAAAAATCATGTAAAATCACGTGATTTTTACCTTTTTTGGGGGTTGGGCTCCCCCCCTGGCGCTCAAGGGGGGGGGGGGGGGGGGTGCAAATTGAATTTTTTTCTTAAGGATCAAAAAAAAAAAAAAATGTGCTCACTACCCCCCCCCCCCCCCCCCCCCCCCCCCTGAGCGACTTTTCGGCCGGCGCGATTTTCAAATTTTCGGGAGCAAAAAAAAAAAAAAGTTGGGCCCCCTCCCCTAAGAAATCCTGGATCCGCGCCTGACCTTCATATCATTTTACTATTCGTATGGGGTATTAAGAGAATTAATCCATGGCTACAAACTCCAAACGAAAGCTAGCACAAACCTTATTCTCTCAATATGTCGTATGAGACAATATGGCTGAAATGGCTTGGCCAGTATCGGCGTGCAAATGATTCTTTTTGTAAAAGTGGGTGGTGCCTTAAATGATTACCTAGACCATTAGTTCAAAGCAGGGGCGGTGTAGTGTCTTCCAAAATGGGGGTGGGCACCAACAAAGAAGGGACACCTGCGAAGGGGCACCTCAAAACGAAAATACATGCATACCATGTCAGAGATTGGGTTATACCCTTACATTGTGATTACATGATCAGGGATGATTTCAATATTTGTTTCTCTCTTTACATGGTCCAAGATGCTGTTGACAGGCAGTATAGAAAAGAAAAGGTGTTAATATCAATAAATATCAACAATGAAATAATAACACTCACTCTTCTTGACCTTGTTCGCATCTCTTGTTTAAGGTAAAGCTATTGTCACAACTCAGAGCGGCGACCGACCGATTTGTAGCCTGCTGGGTCGACGCCACTGGAATTTAGGCATCGCCCAACGATTTGGGGAGAATTCGACCAGACTGCAGAGCCCCAGCGATGCCTGGGCGGTTCCCTGTCAATTTCCCGTCGATCGCTGGTCGATTTTAGGTCAAAACTGGGCGAAATCAGGGAGCTTCGCCGCCCGGCACCCGACCGGCAACCGTACTGGTCAGGTGGCTTAGCGTTAAAATTATCGATTATCGTTACACGGGTTGGTACAGGTGTTGGGTCCAAGAGGCGGAGCCCTCAGAAGCTCAGGGGTTTTATACATCAAATAATCGTCAGATGAGCATAATTTTATACCTTATTTGTGAGTTGTGACACTGGAAGGTCACGAATTGACGTGGGGTCCAGGGACGGAGCGCCCAGAAGCTCAGGGGTATAGGCATTTAATTACTGTCAGATGAACATAATTTTATTTTATACCTTATTTGTAACACTGGCAGGTCGCGAATTGGCGTGGGGTCCAGAGGCGGAGCCCCCGGAAGCTCAGGGGTTTGGGGCAATAAATTACGATCAGATGAGCATATTTTGATTTGCGACACTAGCAGGACATAAATTGGTGTTGGGTCCAGATGAGCGATTTTTTTTTTTTTTTTTTTTTTTTTTTTTGGGGGGGGGCCCCGGAAATTAGAAAATTACGTCGTTAGATATTTCGTTCAGTGGCTTAGGAGGGGGGAGGGGGGGGGGGGGGCCTAGATCCGCCACTAGTTCATGATCCCTGCTATCGGTTCCTTTCATCAGGGTACCGATTGCTTCCTGCAAAAATCATGGTCTGGAAGCAACCTAATTGCAAGCCAATCCATTTCAGTGGGCTATTCTGGGGTACATCGATGATTATAGCTCAGCGGCCTTCCAATATGCTGTTTTCATAGTCTCGTTCAAAGGGAAAGACAAAGCTACGACTTTGGGAAAGATTTCGAAAATAAAAATTGTACATGAACAAACTATAAATGCTGCTTTGCTTTGCAGTTTCAACGGTTCCTGGTAGTTTAAAAAACAAGGGAACTTGAGGTAGCAGAGGTGAAGAGCTTTGCGCTCAGTCCGTTCCTACTTGTACTTTTCGAGCCTAGGAATGTCTTTCGGAAGGCTGAGTAGCCTCAGCTAGCTCATGCTATAACCGATCATGCAAGTAAAGTGTCGAGTGAAAACATAAGGGTGAGAGAGAAACATTATAAGTTCATTTCCTTTTTATAAAGGGCACCCTCTATTGAGAAATCTTAGTGGTTTTGTGGCCCTTTGGGGGTAACCCGACACATGCTCCGCCGACGATTGCTCCGCCGACATTTACTCCGCAAAACGCGACAATTGCTCCGCGACATTTGCTCCGCGACATTTGCTCCGACGTTAATGCTCCGCCGACAGTTGCTCCGCCGACAGTTGCTCCGCCGACAATTGCTCCGCCGACAGATGCTCCGCCGACAATTGCTCCGCCGACAATTGCTCCGCCGACAATTGCTCCGCCGTCAATTGCTCCGCAAAACGCGACAATTGCTCCGCCGACATTTGCTCCGCCGACATTTGCTCCGCCTGAAGCGACACTTGCTCCGCCGACATTTGCTCCGCCTGAAGCGACACTTGCTCCGCCGACATTTGCTCCGCCGACAATTGCTCCGCCGACAATTGCTCCGCCTGAAGCGACAATTGCTCCGCCGACATTTGCTCCGCCGACATTTGCTCCGCCGACAATTGCTCCGCCGACAATTGCTCCGCCTGAAGCGACAATTGCTCCGCCGACATTTGCTCCGCCGACATTTGCTCCACCGACATTTGCTCCACCGACATTTGCTCCGCCGACATTTGCTCCGCCGACATTTGCTCCACCGACATTTGCTCCAC